TAAACAGGGCCAAGGCAGAACAGTGACACGACTCCACAGGGTGAATCGACCGCGGAAACGGGATCGCGCCAAAGTGTATCACCAGGCGAAGACGGAGTCCCTAAACAGGGCCAAGGCAGCACAGTGATACGACTCCACAGGGCGGATCGACCGCGGAAACGGGATCGCGCCAGTGTGTATCACTAGGCGAAGCAGGTCAGAGAGGTGTTACACCTTCCAGGGCGGATCGACCGTGGAGACGGGATCGCGCCGAAGAGTAACACTCTCGACAAAAGCACCGGAAGTTCACAAAGGCAGCGTACTACACTTTGATCCAGGCCTAGAATATTTGGAAAGATTTGTTCAAGTACTCCCTTGCTAGAGGGAGTAGAAGACCGTAGATAATAAATTACTGTCTATGGTTGCTGATGTTTGGAATGGCTCTGCATAGTCAGATGCACACTAGGTATGGTTTGGCATCAACGATATTGGACTAGCTGTCAGGTTTCTCGCATGTTGCTTGACCTAGATCTGCGAGATCGGGAGTTGTGAAGGTCAAGGTCGGCTTTCTAAGGAGCGGATAATCGGCGACCGCGACAACCTCAACTTTGCACAAAGTTATTTATGAAAATTATATTTTAATAAAAGAAGTAATATTTAAATTGTATGAGGAAAAAAAAAATTAAAATGTTGGAAATGTGTAAAAATTAATATAGAAATTATTTTAATAAGAAATGGTAATTTTAAAATTGCATGAAAAATTAGGAAAATGTGTAAAAATTAAGGTCCAAGTTGGTGGTAAAATTTTACAGAAGATGGGTTCGACTTTGTTGTCAAAAAACAGCCAAATTAAAATTGCAAACAGGCATACAGGCATACTTTGATTGGATAGGGATTCTTGAGTTTTTAACTAATGGAGATAAAAACAGTATATACACCCTAAGAAGTTGTTGTTTGATCCACTTGCAGTCACTGGCTTGCTATGTAAGAGGGAATAGTTTGACTGCTAAGTCAGAATGGGCTAGACCACACCAAGCAAAAAAGCTGTGATGTGAGGAAAAAGGAATGACCATCTCAGGCATGTAAAGCCTGCTGCTGTGAAAGGACTTGACTAGCCAGGCGAGAAAACTCTGAGTTGGGATGATAAAAGACTGCTTTCTCATTCCACTTTGACTTTTGACGTTTTGAATTGTGAACTTTTTGAAATAAGTAAATTGCTTTTGGCTTTATATGAACCCGTGCTTTAAAAGAGATTTCTTAAAATTCCTATGTTGTTAAGGGAAAAATTTGTTTTTCATGACCTGTTGTTTTCTAAGAGAGAACAGATTTGTCTTGCAAAGAACTGTTAACTTGCCTTGATATAAGACAAAGGAAAATGTTGTGAAAAGTTTTGTATTATGAAAAATATTTTTTGTAATACTAATAAATTTTTGTTTCTTTACAAAATTAATTTTGAGTAAGAGTCTTGTCATTTTCGTTAACACCTTGTAAAAAGAAGTATAAGAGACTTGAAATTTCACAAATCTGCCATTAAAACCCTCTTTCTTCCCTCCTTTACTCACCAGATCTCTTTTTCTATTTTTTCTCTTTATATTTTCAAATGGTTTTGTAGATTCAATTTACATTTTGTACGGTAAAATTAGCAACTCCCTATGTGAATCATAACAAATGATGAAACAATTGAACAGTTTAAAAAGCATTCTTTATATAAGTTATACATTATACAATGAAAATGCGAACAGAGAATTGCAAGGAGTCCAAATGTTTGAAATTGAGTGAAACACTTATCTGAAATTGATCATCCCTACATGCAAGCCGCTAATGGCCCACTGACAGGCAGCTGATGGTAATGTCAGTGGTCCTCTAGCGGTCTGCTGGTGGTAGTATTGCCAAGAGGAACATGCTGGCAGTCTGACAGCAGGCCACTAGTGGTAAATGCTAGTGGCATGCCACCCAGTGGCAGATTGGTGGCTTGCGTGTATGGATATTCTTCTTCCAATGTCTGCATGTCAATGTATTATTCAGGTTTGCTTATGGCCAGCATTGCCTGTTCTTTGGACTAGGCTAAACTGCATCCAATTGTAGCGAGGTGCGAAACGGATGACGGGTCAGCAATAAAAATGTGAAGGATTGTCAATCAGATGTAGCGGACCCCACCACATTTATTTAACTTTGATTAGGAATGACGTGGAAAAGGACAAGCAAAGACACTGGATGTCACCATCAAATGTGGCGGCCACATACAATTTATATTTGACTTAAAATAGCACATAGCAAAAATACAAGACAGAACGTAATGGTTCAAAACATAACATTTGAATTTATTTGTTTTGATGTACATGCATATAAGCTAAAGGTTTGATAGAGTTAAATCTCTTAGATTTGGGAAATATTTATACCGGAGCTCACGAAGTTGAATTGATTATTAAACTGTAGTTTTAGAAGAATAAAGTTCCTGTTGCATGTTAGGAAATGTGAGTTGGAAAAGTTGGTAGAGTTCAGAAGAGTTAAGAGTTCGTACTTGCGTGAATGTTGGTAATGTTCTTTAACGTCTGACCGCAAGGTCAAGACGAGAGTTCTTGAAGGTTACATTTTGGCAGCAAGGAAGGAGACGAAAGAGAAAATGGAGAGAGAAGGCTTACTCATGTTTTGTTTATATAAGGTGGTGTATCATGTGATCGGCTCCCAGCTTAGTGTGCGGGAAATATCATTCCTCGCGTGCAGGCAATCTGATTGGTTGGAATTGACCAATCAGCGAGGTAGTTTTGAGGAGATTAGCCAATGAATGCTTGTCGTATGATCTGTATGTCTGTATGTGTGTGATGGTGATGATAATAACCACACAATCACATCTGTCATCTATAGGGCTTCTCACCTTTGGGACCTAAAATGCATTTGACACCTAAATTTGGGTCTAACCCATTATTATCAGATAACTGGATTCATCTTCTCTAACAGGGTTCTTATCAACCAAGAGGAGATAACCTATTTTTTTTCATATTTGTTTTGTGTGCTTCAAGCTTGACCAATTCTGATCTCCATCTCCTTTTCATTTGACTGAATTCAAGCAGCAAGGCATTTTAAATCATTTCCTTGTTTCAGTTTATTTCCTTCTAATGTGATTCACCCTCTGCTCTATGGTACTGAGAGCTGAACTTGAGCAAAGAAGATGAGTGATAGTCTTGGCAGAACATATATGTAGATGCTTAGGACTATATTTAGTATATCATGGAAAGAATACAAAACAAACAAGGACCTCTATGGAAAACAGCAAAGTGTGACATAATCACTACCCTATAGAAAACTGCAATTCAATGGCTACCTATGGAGGAGAAAGGAAGAACTGTTAAGTAAATAGTCATGTGTAAATGTGTGACTCTGAACATAGAAAACAAAAAAGGAGACTGACTAAACCATATGTGGATCACCTAAGAAATAATACTGGCTTGATGAGTGAGGAATGGATGAAACTAAATTGTGTTAGAAGAAACTTTATTACTTGGTTATATACTGCCTTTAGTTATCTCCATTTGATGACAAATCATTTATAGAATAATTTCACACTGGCTTGTGAAAATCTTTTTTTCAAATTTGCATGTGTAGTGAAAAGAGTTATTATTGTTATTTTCTAAATGGTCCAAAAACAACACGTGGTAGGTCTACAAATATATCCGCAAATATTTTGGCATTATTTACCATTGTAATGGTTGTTTATCAACCCAACCTTCTGATGGGATTTCATTGGTTAAATAATATATAGATAGTTTAATTCCTATAAAGTGAATAATGAAAGTGAAAGAGAATGAAAAATCTTTAGAAGAAACCAGAAACCCAATACGAAATAGGGAACAAGGGATAAACCTCTACTGCTGCAAGGTGATAATGCCACTAAGATGCAAGGGGCTACTGGGAGTGAATGAGATTGAAAAAATCTTTAGAGGGAACCAGAAACCCAATACTAAATAGGGAACAAGGGATAAAAATCTACTCCTGCAAGGTGATAATGCCACTAAGATGCAAGGGGCTACTGGGAGTGAATGAGATTGAAAAAATCTTTAGAGGGAACCAGAAACCCAATCCTAAACAAGGGATAAACCTCAACTCCTTTTCAAAAACAGGAGTAAAGGAGTGTGAAGTGAATGATAAGCAATTTAGGAAAAAAATAGTAAATAAAATTTTAAGCAGAGATATTAGAAGTATGGATCTGAAGTAAACGTTAGAACGTGGAGTTATCTCGATTAAATAGAACTTTTTTGCCAATTTATATTTAAGAAATTACTCAAAAACTGATGCCCTGATTGAACTGAGTAGTTTAATATTGTGCTAATGAAAAATGTGCTTTGCTGTGCAGTTTTATCTTTATATTAAACAAACACATCATTATAAAAATCTTAAATAAAAGGAACACCTTCACAACTTGTGGATTACTTTACTGGAGTGTTACAAGACTGTGACCAATTTTTTTCGTAATTTAATTTGAACATTTACTTTGTTAACAATTGAGTTAACTAATATTGAAGTATTTATTACTTATTTTATTATTTTAGATAAATATGACTTTCTTATGAAAAAAACAACAACACCGCATTGTATAAATAAATCTCATGTTGAACTTTACATATGTCTTTATTCCTATCCGATTTTATATGTGAGAATTGTTTATATTCATATAAATGTTATTAAAGATCATTTATCAATTGCAGAGAAAGAGAACTCACATAAACGGAAGTTTGAATAAAAACTTATGCAGCCGCATACGATTTTAACAAATGATATCAAATAAAAAAAAAAAAGTGAAATCAGAATATAGAAAGCTGAATTTAATAACTCTTCATTAGGAATAATTTATCTGAAATTATGTTTTAATAAAAGTTCTAGTCTTACTTATTAGTAAATTGATATTTTTATGCTGTAAGCGGCAGATTTTCTGCTTATTGATGCCGCCATTTATGTCGACAAACGTTTTGATTGCGTTGTTTTGTTGTTAACAGAAAAAGTGGACAACAAATAATTTAGTCGACATGGCGGATGCTGCGGCTAGATCACTTCAGTATGAATACAAAGCGGTAAGAATTATTTCATTTTAATTTTTGTCTTGTTCATATTTAATTCATCTGAATTTTAGTTTGCACGTGTCTCCCGTATAAACCAGCCATGTTTCTTTATTTCATTCGGGGAAATTATTTTTTACTCTGTCTCATATTGCGTAACATAAGAAAAAGATCCAATTCCCAGTAGATTTTTATTTAGAAAAGAGTTTCACGAGTAAATGAATCAGTTACTGATGTTCTGTTTTTCTAAAGACTTGATTAGTGTTTATAGTACATTTTTTTCCATGTGTAAATACTGGAGATTAGTGGAATTGAAACTTATTGTCTGTTGGTGTTTTTCAAAAACGTTCCTAAGTTTTCACTGTTGCAAAAAAAAAAAAAAAAAAATGTTCATTTTATTTATTAAAATAACCAACTATCTCTGGGTTATCTGCAATTTTTATTACTTTTTATTTTGTGTCTAGTCTATAATTTTAAAACTTCCGTAGTATAGATGTTTTTTGCATCATTACAAAAAATTATCAATAAATTATTGAAAGGATATAAAATTTTATTGGACATTAAATATTTAATAAAACGTCCAAGTTATGACCGTAAAAGTTTATAGACGAAGAAAAGATTATTTCGTTTTTTTTTTTGTTTTTTTTTGTACAACATAAAAACAAAAAAATTCTTCCGTTTGCAGGAAGTCATTTATTTTTCCAAATAATTTTCACGAACTTTTTTAGAGATTAGAGATATTTTTTGCATTCATTTTTTATTTATTGTTTGCTGGCTTTTAAAATTCGAGTCTAATAAACTGTGCAGTTAAAAGAGCTTTTAAAAAATGCGTTTTTTCTACTAAAAAGTATACATAAAGAAAGAGAAATCATATTTTTTTTTTTAACTTTCTTTCGGTTATTTGCTAAATTTCCATATAGACTCAAGTTTAAGAAAATTGTAGTTTTTACTGATTTGATTCTGAATTTTAAATTCTCCCTCACCATAGAGTCAATAACACATAAAGTGACGAACCTAAAGTTAACTGAGTCTGTTTAAGAAGAAAAATAATACAACAACAGAAACGTAGATCTGAGAAACGTGGAGAAGGCAACAGGAAACTATTTGGTTGTCTTTCTCAAGAACAATCTTGGTAATTCAGATATATTAAAGAAAAAAGAAGCCTTATAATCAACCATATCAAACAAACATTACATTTACTCTCACCTTTAAAGAGAAAAAAAAGAATTTCATGAATTGATGTCATTTTTAGATAACTACTGAAGAAAAGATATTTTCAATTTAAATTTTAAAATTTTATTTAGAAATGTAGTCTCCCTATTTTGGCCTTCATCAAAATTCATTTGTGTTGTATCAGAATTTAATAATTCTCAAAAAAAAAAAATTGGAACAGAATTCTTCAGTCGCTCACTTTTTTTTTTTGTTGCTTAAAGATACCAATTACAATTATTTGCATAATCAAAACATTTTCTATACTTGAAAGATTTAAAGTAAACACTTACAGGTGCACTACCAATTTTTCTGGTAACTGATAGTCTTTAATCTACACAAAATTACATGCAAGCATTTGGATTTTGCGTGATTGTCAGACTAATTCATAGGTTGGCCATAGGTGGTGTTGTATTTAATAATAGTTTAATATAGGTTTTTAATGACGATTGAAACTACAAGATCTACAGAAAGTAGTGAAGGAAAGTGAGAAGAAAGGACACAAATCAGTTGCATGAAGACAATGTATGGTTGTCAGTAAAAGAAACAGCCCAACATGTAAATTACAATTTGGAGATATCAAAATTAAGCAAGTTTAACAGTTTAAATATCTGAATTGTTTTAACAGAGGATGGAAAGTGTGACACTGAAATCGGAATATGAATAGGGATAGTGAAAGCTAAGCAAAGTATTAAAAAACAGGAAAATTTCATTAGGAACATAGAAAAGAGTACTTGCTTTTATATAATGGTGGTCCTCCTATATGGCAGTGAATACTGGACAATCTCACCACAGAAATATTGTTCTGCAGAAGGATGCTGAGAATATCATGGACTGAACATGTGAACAATGATAACATTTTAGATAAAATGGAGACAAAAAGGACACATACTTAACATCAGAAAGAGAAAGTTGAAATTTCTTGGGCACATAATAAGGAAAGAAGGCTTGGAAAATTTGACACTCACAGAATAGATTAAAGGTTAGAGGTACAGAGGAAAACTGCCCATAGGGGAGATCGCAAAAAGACAAAATTTACTAAGAACAAGAAAGGATAGGAAATTGTGGAGAGCCATGATCACCAACATCCTGAAGGGACGTGGCACAAAGAAAAATTGTTAATGTTTCTTAAGAGATATGAAACAAAAAATTAGTAAATATGTAAACTATATGTTCATATTATGGCTATATTTACAAATTTAACTACAAATATTCTAAATTGCATTGATTTCTGTACTTGTGCAAATATATCACATTTGCTTACAATGTGTGGTTGTGTTTGTTACAGTTAGCTGATGATTTGAGAATTGAATATATATGAATCAAGTAGAAGCTTGAGTTTTGTAAAATTGTTACTTGACTTTTGAAATTGCCAGTTAGTCTGTGTAGTGGCAGTAGTAGCTTTATTTAATAACTGAAAGCTACATAAAAGCGAAACTTCTATAAATCTCCTGTTTTAGAAACCACTGATCAACTTCACTTGACAAGTTCTGATTGACCCCAGTCTCTTTGTACCTGTTGTTATTTAAATATGCATACATCACACACATTTATTTTTATATGAGAGAGAGGTAAGTTCAGGGAATTCAGCAATATTTCCATCATCTGTGTTCCCTGTTCAAAGTTTATTTTTATTCGCTTTTCTTTCACCCACTGATAATGTTGGTAGTAAATGCAGAAAAGAGAGAATAAAGTAATTCAGTTGGATGGATATTTGCCAGTTTGTACCATGGTAAACTTTATTGGATAAAGAATTTTTGCCTCTAAGAATAGGAGTTCAAAACATGTTTTCAGTTTAGCATTTGAATTCTTTCCTTGTCTGTAAGTGTTGATGATTTATCATCATATCTAGCAGTGTATTAGAATTATATCATGCTTGACTTGTTTTGAAGCAAGAAAGAGGATGAATTTTGAAGAATCAATGACTTTTAGATTCTCAGTAGAATTTTATTTTTAGCATGATGACTTTTAGATTCATGTGAAAACAATCAGATCAGTTTTTATTAATTTTGAAACATTTTTATGCATTATTGCATCCAATATGAGTTAAATAGCAGAGTAGACTGGGATCTCTAGCCTTGGGTGATCATTTTAGAAGAAGGGAAACTGTATTCAAAGGCAGTCTGAAGAGGGATGTCAATCTGTCTTATCCTAGACACACCCACTGTTGTTACAGCTACAGTACATGTGCTGCCCCTACAATCTTAATGAGTTATATGATTCCTAATGTGACATCAATTAATATATATTATTTTTATGAAATCTACATGACAATCTAAGTTGCTTACTTTTAAGGAACACATATGCTTTATAAAGAAAAAAAAATTAACATAAAAATTATACACAAATTTATGGATTTTGTTGTCCAAAGATAAGTTTGAACACTTGTTTGTATCTTGTTGACATTATCTGAATAGGACACATCATATGCCAGCCAGATCAAAAAATTGATATCAGCAGGAGCCAATACTGTAGGTTTGGAGGTATAGCAATATGGTCACAGATGTTTATTTGGTGATATTGATATTATATCTAATGGCATCTAAGAAAAGCTGAAATACATATGTGTATTTAGTGTTAGATTAGTTTTGAATTTGCAGTATATCTAACATGAAGAAATAAGTATCTTTATATGGGTGTGGGAGGGGATGCTAGGGATATGGCTTGGGGGCCAAGAAGGTGGCGTTTGGAAACCAGTGATTTAACCAATCAGCAAACTAGTGATGGTTCTGGAATGGTATGGAGTAGGTCCTATTGGAATTTGGAAGAGCCACTGGTGAAATTGGAATCCGTCTTAACAGGTGTGACATAGAAAGATCTTGTTGCAGACGATTGATATCCCTAGTATTGCCATGTTAACCAGTTCAAGCAGGATAATGCAATCTTTCATCACTCCATTGTGTATGGGTGATATGAGACTGTGGTTCCAGTAACACTTGGCTGATGTTCAGGTACTTTGATATCATGCTCACCAGATTTAAATCCCATTGAGCATGTATGGAATATGTTGCAGAAATCACTAAATAACCATCCAATAAGCACAAATCTGTTATGAAGAGCCATGGACATTATATATATATATATATATATATATATATAGTAATCTGTTGGTATAATCCAGGCGAGTCCTATTAACACAACATAGAATTTGAAATATGTTAAAACAGACTTGCAAAAGAGCGCTCTATGTTTATTCACAATAAACAGAGCAAATTTACTTTACAATTGTAATTACAATACCTTTAGTAAGTGACCATTTTCACCTATGAATTTTAATTTTAAAATTCGACGGAGAAAATGGTCATTTACTAAGGGTATAAATAATTCAATTGTAAAGTTTATATATATATATATATATATATATATATATATATATATATATGTCTCCATGCAAAGACTCCAGCATTTTGTAGGTTCCATATCATGTCACCTTTATTCAGGCAAAGGACAGTCTGGAATAGTCATGCTGGTGGAAATTTGTCAACTTATACTATAAGTGTGCTGTTTAAAATGAATGTTTTGCCGAGAAGTTTTGGTTTCTGTAATAAAATAATTAGAGAAAATTATTTGAAAAATTATAAGCGTTCTATACAGAAAAAAAGATGAAAATAAAAAGCACCATACTAGGAGAAAATTTAAGGGAATAAGTAATGGTTTTGGCACTTGGAGTTAGTACACAAGAATAGGTAGCAGTGTCTAATTTTTTTGACAGTTCAGTGTATTAGTTTTTAGTACTTTTATTTTTTATTATTATTTCTATTTTCGTTAGAAGTTCAGAAAAAATAGTTAAATATTTAGAAGTTACTTGAAATAAGCAATTCATGAAAAATGTTTCTTTTTTATTTACAGTGGTTCCAAACATACACTTGGGTATGAAAGATAAAGAGATGATATTATTATATCTCTCAGTGCACGACTATAGTTTTTTGAGTATCTCTAAATGCTTAACCTTACCTAAGATTAATGTTAAAATTTACTGTGAATAATCACTTTCTGCACGTTATTTTTCCAGAACTCTAATCTTGTACTCCAAGCTGATCGGACGCTTATTGACCGTCGAGCCAGAGATGAAGCTACTGGAGAGGTTATGTCCCTCGTGGGCAAAATTGAGGGAACGAGGATGGGAGACAAATCTAAAAGAACAAAACCACCACAAATGGAAGAACGCAAAGTCAAGTGGGTATTTTTTTTTTTTTTTTAAGATAAACTTTGTATGTAAATTTATTTTTATAATTGTTGCAATAAACTTTTTTTGAAATTAACAAGGTTCTGATGAGTTTCTTTTTCAAAATCTTTGTAGTTTCTATTTTTTTTTTTTCTCTCTTAATATTTTAATACTTAGCCTTTTCTGTAGGAAAAGGCCTTTAGTTTATGACTTATTTTGATTTAGTTGCATTACATGTTATCATAAATATGTGTTGGTATTTGTTATAACTTTAGCCTTAATTTCTTCTGATATTGACCCTTCAGTTTATAAAGAGGACAACAAATTTTTGTCTCTAGCTTGTAAGATACAGGAGAATTTTTCTTTCCTCTTAATGTAATCCACCAGCAATCTATTTTTTGAGTTTTGTGTTTAATTTATTCTTTATTGTGTTTGAGCAAATAGCAGTATGCATTTTGTTTTGGCATTTGTTTTGTAGTGAATGAGCTGGCCTGTCCTTTGAACAGAAGTAGAGATTTATTTCCTGTTTAGGATTGGGTTTCTGATTCCTTCTAAAATCTTCTTATTCTCTTTCACACAACCCCCTTTCATCTTAGTGGCATTATCACATTGCTTGGCGTGAAATGATTAAAAAAAAAAAAAAGATGCCACTTTGTTATAATTTTTCATATTCTCTCTGTAACAACTCTTGGTATCTCTCACATACAAGTTGGGACAGTGATTGACTAGTTATACCTTAATACCTATGGTAAGTGAGGCTTGCTTTGCTGTAATGGCTTTTGGTAGCTTAATGGTAAAGCATTACTCATGTCCTGTACATACTTCTGTGGAGTATTGGGCTACAGCCTCATAGTGCTAGGCAGTACTGCTTTGGTTTCCAGAGCAAGTAGGATTTTACGAGATGGAATTGCTAGCATTGTGGTCTTGAATTCAGAATTGTCTTTCTAGACTTGGTTGCCTACCAAGGCTAACGAACCTACTCTACCCTCTGATTTAACCCATAGCTGGAGGGAGAAGAGATGGATTCATACCTTTCCCAAGGGTATTTTCATGAAAGAAAATGTAATGAACTCAACTGGGATTCAAACACAGTTTGCCTATTTCTTGTTGTGAGCCACTAATCATTACACCATCAGCACATATACAACGGTAAAGCACACTTAGCTTTAAAGCAGTTTCCCACATTACAAGGGTTATAAAGTTTCAATTCCTGCTAGAAAGCATTTTCTTTATGAAGACTTTCAGTCTCAAGGCTGGTAGACAGTTTCATTGTTTTAAACAAGCAGGTGTATCTCCTCAAGTATGTGTAATCACTTAATGTAACATAGTAGTTGGAAATGTTGGTTGTATGAAACTATTTAGTATTAAGTCATTAAAAGCTAGTAGATAGTATGTCTCATAAGAATACTTATCAACTACTCTATTAATCATTTGATATAGATACCAGTGTTGACATTTTTGGACAGGGTAAGTGAGTTTGATTTTACTTTATGTCTATCTCTTTGTTTCTAATTCCATTTGAAAATTATTTTATTTTTTATTTAAAATTTCTCTCCTGTTTTTGGTATGTTTTTTAAAGACGGAAAAAGAGAGATGAGGCCCAAAGAGAGGTGATGAAAATGAAGGGTACCACCCTGTTGTCTGAGGGCATTAATGACATGGTAGGCATTATGTACCGACCAAAAACCCAAGAGACCAGACAGACATATGAAGTTTTGCTTAGCTTCATACAAGCAGCTCTTGGAGATCAGGTGAGAGTGTTTTCTTATTCAAATCATTGTTACCAGTTCTTTTATAGACTTTCTGTATGATCATTGTAGGAAAGTGGAAGAGGCCATAGAATGTTGGTCTGTAAATACCTACAAAAGAATAGTCTTGTTTGCACCTTAACTGATTAATACCCATTATCCAATTTTCTACCCAATGTACTGGTTACAGGTAGAAATCAGTACTTAAAATTGTATTGAAAAAATAAAATTTATTAGAAATCTATAATTAATATTGGCTTTATATTTTAATATTATAATTAATAACTGGTTTTATGGTGGATATTAAAAATTGTTTCATTAGAATATTATGTTTCTTTTAAAAAGGCTCGAAAAATGTATATCTAAAGAAGCAAAAAGAAAATGATAGAGCTGTTGCTGATTTACTGTATGTTTTTTTTTTTTTTTTTTTTTCAACTATTTGAAATTTAATTTACATCTTATAAAAGTTTCATATTCATTTTGGCGCCGAAGAAAACCTAAAAAGCAATGCAAATCGCTCCAGAAAGTGGGAGTTATAAGATTTATAAGAAATGAGGAATCAATCCTTGGTATGACTGATCTGGCAGTATTTTCATTATTTCATATATAAAGGAACACACACACACATAAACAACCTGGGTTTTTTAACCTAAGTCACTCCACGGAATCGCTAAAACATAGAGCATAGTCTGATGAAAAAGACGCCAAAGTTTATGAAAACAAAATTTTATCGTCAAAATGCTTATTTTTTTATGAAGAGGATAGACTAAATTTTTTTTTAATTATTTTTGGTCATTGGTTACTGTTGAACACCAGTCATGTTAAGGTTGTCATTTTGAAGCTAGACATATTTAAATCTTTTCTTACCAGCCACGAGATGTTCTGTGTGGAGCGGCAGATGAAGTCCTAGCTGTGTTGAAGAATGATCGTATGAAAGACAAAGAACGTAAAAAAGAAGTTGAAAGTTTGCTGTCTACCTTGGCTGATGAGCGGTTTGCCCTTTTAGTCAACTTGGGCAAGAAAATTACAGATTGGGGATCAGAAGAGAAAATGCAAACAGGTGAAATATTTAAATTTTTTTTCATTTTTCTTTCATTCAGTACTTCCTCAATTATCCAGGCATGTTGGAGGAGGTGTTGAAAAAATTTGTCTGGATAATTAAATACCTAAATTATGGAAAAAGAATGAGGAAAAAAGTCCTTTTCTGAGTCCTACCTGACTTAAACATTTGTCAAAGACAATAATTGTCTCCGTGTTTAAAATTGAGCATTGGGGATGTTGAACATCAACATTGGCAATATCCTCAATTTTTTTAACAGGAGTAGAGGCTTATCACTTGTTTCTGGTTCCTTCTAAAGTCTGCTTTAGCTCTATACTCCTAATGCTCAATTTTTCCTATGCAAATATAAGTTCACACAGTAACCTTCTACTTTCAGTGGCACTTGGGCCTTATATTAGGTGAGCATTAGTTTAAAAAAGAAAAAATTATTCTTTGCTTCTTCACCATTTTGTGGCATGGTTCGTAGGCCTTTACCATGTAAGGTAAAGGTAGCACCTGTTTGATCAAGATTCAGTCCTTTTGTTGTGAGACTGAAGGACCTCGACAGGGTGCAGGCCTGGGCAATGGCATATGGAGGCTGTGTTCTGCCCAGGCCCCCCCTACCTTGTCAGCTGTACTAAAAAGATCCAAAGGAATACATGGTATTGCATTTGCAGTCACTTGACTGCAGGAGTTCCTAGAAGGTTTTCAATGGTAACAGCCAACTGCCTTTTGGGCTCCATTCTGGATTTTTTGTTTGGATTTACTTCTATAGTCTATTTATGTTTGGGTGCAATTCTAAGGCTGCAGAGGTTTAAAAGCAGGGTTTTCCTTCCACAAGATGGACTGCATTCCTAGATTGATGAACTCCATCTATCCAATGCAACTGGTTATGAGGTGCCAGTGGTCTTCAACCCAATTATACTGCATTATAAGTTCAACAATATCCTGGTCACTTAGTTGTTTATTTTCAGGGCCATCTGCATTGAAATGGTCATTTATTTCTGCTTCATTTATAGCAATATTTAACACTGCAAATTGCTTGATAAAAACATGGTCTTCTCAATTCTTGAATTGCTTGTCTGTGATGCATTATTAAAGTGGTTTTAGTTCATATAATAGAAAAATGTTCAGATTTCAATTTTTGATTTCATATCTTGTCCAGATAATCAAGGTACAGATAACTGAAGAAATACTGTGATGACACTTATTTTTTTTTATTTCTTTAAAATTTGCTATGTTCAAGAAAACCTATGGTAAAGTTACAACACCAAATGGCATTATATGTTTATATATTTAAATCTTATTTATCTGTTAATAAAGGTATTTTTCCTGGGTAGGGTAGCTTGCTGTGTTGTAGTGGTTAGCAAGTTAATCTTGCTTGACCATTATTACTGTAGTAAGTTTGTTTCTCACTGGGTGCATTACACTTGTTATCTTGCACCAGACTCTAAGCTAAGCTTAATAAGTACACTAATTTGGGAAAATAGATTTTTTCTTTAACTTATTTTATATGGTTACAATTTATGTAAGAAATTAGATTACCTATTTCAGGCTTGAATAAATATTTGTTTCCTTTTTGTTTTCACTGCAATATTTAAAAAAAAAATTGTTGACACACTGACAACTTCATAATGAATAAACAAATTTCTTTACACATAATTTCAACAAAGAATATATAGCAAACAAGCCCTACAAAGAAAATAATACAAATATTGTTTCTATCTAATAATGTCTGCTAAGAAAGTTGGTTCACTCTGTCTTGGGAGACAATTTTTCTCTCCAGAATGGATTTTAGATATCTGTAAGTCTGCCAATTGTTCATGCTTGGAATATTGCTGCCACATGTGGTCCAGTGTCCCTACTATTTACCTTCACGGTAATTGTTCGATGAACTCTTTGCTATGATACATAGACTTTATGAATTTAAGTGTAGTACTTGATTGGTGTCGAGATCTCATTAATTTACAGTTGAGCTTGGCTTGATGTTGCAATAAGTTCTATGCTAATGGTTTCTTTTCTTGCACTTCTTGCTTGTGAAAATCCCTTCCAGCTCCATGTTTTCCAGTCAGTTTTAATCTGCAAAAATTTAAATGCAATATCAATAGCTATCCATGTTGTTCTGATTACTCTTTTCACTCTTTCCACTTATTATTAATGTTTCTGCTTCTAATTCTTCCACACTCTGTAATCCCTTTTGTTTTAGTTCTTTTACTGCCTTGCATGGAGTGATACTGATTTAAAAAAAAAAGAAAAAAAAAAAAAAAGAATATCCTCCTCATATCCTTTTTTTTTTTTTTTTTTTTTTTGTTAGCAACAACTCAAACATGAAAACTTTTTGTCACATATCTTTTGTTCACTGTTTTTATTGTAATATTTCATTCAAGTTATTGAAAATATTTTAAAAGCATTTTAAGGTTTATTTTTCTTTTTTTATCAAAGCTTATTAGGTGTAATGCTTGAATATTTTCTCTGATCTGTCAAAGATTATTTGTTTTAAAAAAATTAAAAATTGAAAAGAAAAATCAGAAAAAGAAATAATGAACTAAAAATGAATTGGAATAATTTTTTATAAGTGCAAAGCTTTCTGTTAAATGTTTAAATAAAATTTGGAAAATTGCATTTTGGGAAGCAATTTTTTTCTTTTTTTTTTTTTTTTAAAATATAAATCTTGTCTTAGATAAGAGATTTATAAGGCTGTATTGTTAATCTACATTTATCTTTGTATTGATTAACATAATTTTCTTTTAAATGTTGATTTATGCTCATATTATAATTTTATAAATATCTTTTGCTGTTGGGTATTTGAGGAGGTGCTGAAAAGTTCTTGAACCAACACACTAAACAACGGAATTTTCTTCTTTTTTTTTTTTTTTTTTCATCCCTTCTCGGGCCATTAACTTTTCAATGGCATCTTGTATATCTTTATATTTCACATGTTTATGATGAATTTTGACAATAGAAAACTGTATGCAAAAAATATCTGGTATTGCATGATCAGTGTAGATATTAATGTAGTCCAAAATGTTAATAAATATTCATTGAATTCATTGATTGCCATCCTCTTCTCAAGTGAGCTTAACTTGGATTAAACCATTGTTTTACTCGGTCTTGTTAATTGCAGATGAAAACATTGATGAGACTTATGGTGTAAATGTACAGTTTGAAGAATCAGAAGATGAGGTAAATTTTTTTTCTTGCTTACAATTTTCAAGGATTCTTTGTTATATCTAGAAAGTAACAAAAATATACACATTTAGACATTTAAATCCTTAACTTCATCATTTAACCGTAGAACATTAATTGTGAGTGTAGTAGATCCAGGTCTACTGCACACATCTTTGTTAAAGTTGTCTTGTTTTCTTTTTTTTTAATTTGGATGAAATACACTGGGTAAATTAATTTTAAGTTTCTCTGCATTGTCTGCTAGCTAATAGTGATCAAAGGTTTGAACAATATTCCTGATTTCATGAAATAAAACAGAAATATTTTTCTAGTTTCTTTTATTTCAGCATCTGAGGGACCCATGTGTATTGTTCTCATTTGGCACACCATAGCTGTAGTTCTAAAAATGTCATGCTTTTATAATTCGTTTTACTATAGCATTTGTTCTTAATTGTGAAGTTAAAAATAAATGTTACAATAAAATTAAATATAAAAGTTAAATATAATTCTAAGTATCTGTTTGTATAATCTATTCACAAAAATGTTTAAATAATTTCTTAAAAGTAGAAAATTACATGTAGCAGGAAAAGTGATGACATGTTGAAAAGTATTGTCAAAAAGAAATAAAAAATATTATACTTCCTTCTCAGTGAACATTTTTGTAAGATGAGGGATAAAGTCTACTTTTAAACTGTTTTACATATCTTGTTTTTATTGGTCATTCCATTTTATTGTTTAATATTTCAAACTTATCCACAATCCTCCTCTTTGATAAGGGCCAATTGAAAAGTTGACATTTTAGGAGGAATTATGCCACTTTTTTTTTTCTTTTTGACAGTAATTTTCAATTCTTCATGCTACATATTTTCTTTTCTTAATAAGTTTATAATTAAAAAGTACTATTAAAGTTGAGAAAATAAGTGTCGAGATTAACAACCACCAAAATGTGTATAAAATTGTTAAAGAAAATATATGTATGCACTTTGGTTATTAATTGTTAAATATTTTTAGAAATCATCAGTATTTTCACATTTCCAGCTTTACTTCATTGTAAAATGTAATTCTATTATCTAAGGCTAATTTTTACTTGAAAAAGAAAATGCACCACAGAGCAAAAAGTGGGTAAAATGTGTTTGAGTTTACATCTGTTTTTTATTTTCTGAAACCGTGAAATTAATATCAACTAGCCTATATCAAGAAATCCTGATTTCACGGTTTAAGAAAAAAAAAAAAAACGGATATGAACTCAAACATACGTACCCATTAAAAATAAAGTTTATTGTAATATGAAATAATGTTGGGTTAAAAAAAAATCCATCTAAAAATTACACACACATACAAGAGAGATGCAGACAAAGGTTTTCAAAGTGTGTGCAACACACACATTGGTTGCTAATTACTTTATTTTCTTGTATTTAGTTTAATATGGATGTGTGTTTGTGTGTAGTATAGTAACTATTTGTCTAGAATGTGCAATTGGACAGCTGAATTCAAGTTCTGGCCTAGCCTATTGCATTCATTTTCGCACAATTATCCTTGGGGAAAAGTATGGATCCATCCATTCTCCCCCTCAGCTATGATTTAAATAGCAGAGTTGACATGTCTATCTAGCTTTGGTTGGTAACTAGTCTTGTAGGACAACTCTGAATTAAAAACAGCAGCACTCTATCTGGTGCAACAGGCTGTCCACTCAGCTGGTCAGTTGGCTAAACCAAAATAAAATGAAAGCAGGGAAAAATACGTTCAAGGAAACAATATCAGATTTTTCTTAGATGTGATCAGCCTGGTGCGCTTTTGATCAGGTGTCAGAAGACATGGCATGCACGAAGCAGAAACATTCATAATGCCAAGATCATTATGTAAAATATTCTTGACTCTCTCAAGGAATATGCTAATAGCATTGGCTATTTGATTTATAGTCAATTGTCTGTCATCCATCATCATGTGGTGAATACAATCAATGTTTCTCTCGGTGGTGGTAGCTGTAGGATGTCCAGACTTTTGTTCACCTTCATTACTCCCTGTTCTGCTTCTAAATTCAGCTGCCTACTTTTGTGCTGTTGATAAAGCTGAAGCATCATTCCCTAATGTAGTGACCATGTCAACATGAATGTTCTTGGTGGGTAAACCCTTTTTCTGCCAGTACTTGATAATATCAAGATGCCAAATTTTGCCCATTTTTAAAAGTCATTACTTGTTTTGAAGTTGTCTTTGAACAGTCAGTTCAGTTACCTGGAAAGAAACAATGCAGTTATTAATCAGAGAAGATGAAATTAATGCATGCAAAATAGTTAGACTATGAACTTTTCTGCCCATCCTCATACTATTTTAAAATCAATCTGGCATTTAAAGCAAAATGTTTGTTGAAACTAAATAAGAACAATATTAGCTTTGATAATAGAAAAAAAACTCACAAACCCAAAAAGATATGATTGTCCATTTTGTGTGTGTATAAATAAATATTTGTCTAAATATTTTTTAATTTATCTTGTTTTGTAGGATAATGCTGATGTTTATGGAGAAGTCAGAGAGGAAGAAGAGGAAGATGATGAAGGTGAAGAGGCTGAGATGGATGCAACACTTCGAGCCAATGTATTTGAATTTTTTATTCACTAATTTATGATTTGCAATTTTGCTTAATTTACATCTTTTACATAATTTACATCTTTTACATAATTTATTTTCAGTTTATTTTTTATAAATTTGTGCAAGGCTAACTTTTGTCTGCCTGCTCACCTTATCTCAGTCAGACAAAACACCTGCATTTCTTCTCAATCCTTTAGGCTGGGATGAAAACGTATGTCACTCCTCGTTTGAGACTGGAGAAGGCACCTTGTCTCTGGGATTCCAATTCTGTGACAGCACCTTCCTCATTGCATTAAGAGATACAGAGTCGGTGTAATATCGATCACAGTGTGACAGTGGTCACAAAGACTGGAAATTTTTTGCCCTTGTCCTATAGGCATTATACATGTGTATGGGCACCCCACATTACAAAATGGCATTGTATCACATCCTTCCTTAGAGGGGGGGAGGGGGGATCAGGTAAATAATGTACACAATTGTTTTCCTATCTGCTTTTTATATATATTATTAATAAATGCCATTTAAAGCATAAACGGTAAAGTTTAGTTCATGTAACGAATTTTAAAACCATATTTTATTAAATATTTCATCTGTGTCATTTATTTTTAATACAAATTTTAAAACTGGCTATATATGAACAATGTTTCTATTAAGGGTGTTCCAATAATTTGGACCGACTTTAAACTTAATTCACATTTAAAATTGGCCCAAGTTATTGGAACACCTTTTATTTGCTTATTTTTAAATTTATTTGTAAGAAACAATTTATATCTTACCCCCCCAAAATTATCAGTGTTTATATTAATAGTAATCTTGCTCTTCTTTTTTTTTTTTTTTTTAATATACAAATGGACAGAAAGTAAATAATAGAAATTTTTTTTTTTTTTTTTAATTTATTCCCCCCAAGCAAAGAAATAATGTCACTAAGATGCAAGGTGTTACTGGAAGTGAAAGAGATGGAAAACACTTTATAAGGAATCAGAAACCCACAAATAGTATAAATTTCAGAGTTTAGGCAGAATGTTAGAAGTATAGTGTTGAAGTAGAAGTTAGAAGGAACTGGAAACCCCATTCTAAGGGTTAAACCTTTAATATAATATTATATTAAATTTTGTTTTGTTTTTCCATAAAAAGCTGAAAAAATACAGCTTTTTTTGTTATGGAAATGTTCATTATATTGTTTTATTTTACAAAAAACATCATTAGTCCAGATTTGTTGGTTTTAAATGTAATTGAATTTACAACACAGTGTTTTAAAAAAATACCTTAAAATTTTACTCTTTATTGTATGATTTTGTTTGTGAATTTTATATGATTATTATTAATTTTGTATTTTATATATGATTATTTAGAATGATTTTGGTAGATTATATATAATTTAAGCATTTACTATATAATTAAAAATCGCATGTATATTTCATGATATATATTTATATATGTAATATGTCATGTGTTTGTTCAATTAAGCTACTAATTATGCATGAATTCTATATTTTGTCTCTTTTAGTTGGCCGAGAGAGAGGAGAACAAAAAGAAGCTGGAAGGTGGGCTTCATCCTCGGGATATTGATGCTTTCTGGTTACAGAGGAAGCTGAATAAATATTATCCTGATGACCCAACTGTTGCCCAGACAAGATCCAAAGAAGTCTTGGAAATACTGAAGGTAACAACGCACTTATTTAAAGATTTCTTTTGTTAATTTCTGTTATAAAGATCTTAGCAAGAGACTGTTTAGTAGAACACACTGCTCCCTGTCAGTATTATCAGAGTTACAGACTTTAAGTATTTTATACTAGTAATTATAATTTCTTCACCAAAGCCGTAAGAACATTCATGTTAGAAATTTAGATAAAATTATATCTAAGAATAAAATAAGTGAAAAAATAAGAATTTTTATATATTACTGGCAGCATGGCCTGGCGTTGCCCGTGCTTGATTCAAAAATCATACGACTCATACAGCAATCGCTATCACTTGACTTAAAATATTTTTACCCTTCCTTGCCTTTAAAGGAGTGCCCTTTGCTGTGCTGATGTTGCTACATGCCTATCTCACACTGCAAATTTTTTCTAAGCTCTATACTAAACATTAAATCTGTTACGAAAAAAGAACTAAACAAAATGAACACAAAACGATCAGCTTTAAAAAGGGACTTGTAACTGGAAAAACCGAATGAAAAAAGAATGTTAACAACAAATACTTTTTCACACCCAACTCAGTTTTTCAGAATCAGAATTAACGTTGAGTTTAAGCAAGTGAATGAGCCAATTGGAGTAAAGTGCCATGCAGATTTAAATTTTTCCCACTTGTGATGAATGCAGCTATCGATTTTTTTTTTTTTTTTTTTTTTTGCATGCTAGTTAACATTCGTGTCAGTCAGCTGTTGGCTCTCATGCTGGCCAGTAGAAAATGGCTGCAAACTACATGAAAACTGCTGTAGAAGCATGAAAAATCAATTATTTCCACTATCGATGGGAGTTGGGAAATGCAAAGTCAATCTTGGCCTTCCTGTTAACTTGGTGCATGTGCATGTAAATTTTGGTGCAAATCTGTCAAATTGCGGCCGTGCATTCGTCACACACACACACACACACACACACACACACACACACACACACACATATTGCCTTTTATAGATAAAGATAATTTTACATATTTTAAAAATGACATAAAAACAACTGGGATATTATTTTACTTAAAATAGTACCCATAAAAAATGATGGTTCAGAGTTTCTGTGCATTTTACCTAAGATCAAATTGTTTCTCCCTTGCAAATTTGCCTATGATTAGAGAATCATATTTGTGTACCCTATGATTTGTTACTGTCCAACATTTAATCTGGCAACCTTGGGATCAGCCCAACAGAAAATACCGGATGATAGTGTTTTTTTATTTTCGGGGATGATTTCTATGTAAACATAGTCTTGCCATATTATTCCACATATATATTGCTGTGTTATCAAAGGTAGGACAAAACTTAGAACCAGAAATAAAATAATCATTAATGCTCTTATTGTTACATGTAATGCAAAAGCTAAAAAAACTGAGAACCCCAAAATAATATATACTTACTATCCTGAATGGGTAAACATGCAGCTGTATATGAGAAATGAGCAAGACTGTATCACCAAAATACTTCTGCTGTTGGCTGCTATAGAAAGTTGTAAACAACATGTAGCATTGCCCTTGTAGCTGCTCAATGAAATAATGCTTGGATGATTAAAAAAATAAATAAATAAATAAAAAAACCTGCTGGACTATGGAGTGTCAGAATAAACTGGTCAGACTACATACAAAATATGTGTATTTATATTCATTTCATTTTATGTTAATAAATTAAGAAAGCTGGTTATGGATTGTAATTTTTGGATAAGCTGTGTTTGCCCATAAAATTTATAAACCTAAGTTAAGAATATGCATGTTTTGTTTACAAATACCATCATCAAACAGAATATGTTTGTAGATATAGTTGCCACTGATAGGGTTGAAAAAAAAAAACAGAATATCATTTTATTGATTTGTGTTTAATAAAAATATTGATTTAGTCTGGCACCTCACCACAATTGTATAACATTCAATCAGGATTAAATTATCAATGGTTTGCAAGTTGTTAACTATTGTTTTATGACAAGCACAACTTCTGTTAGTTTCTTAAATATAAGAGTGCTTCTTTAAGTTTATATCTGTTGTGGAGTATTTTCACAGTGGAGGCTTGTATTTCTAATAAGTTGTGCAAAACGTTAGGAACTTGGGAAACAATAGTCAATGACGCAGCAAATCTAGTTGTGATGGTTGGTACTTCAAATGTCCGAATCTCGACTGATGTTCTCAGCACCGTTCTGCCAGACTTGCCACTGCTACTCCTACTTATTGTCTATGGGAGAGTCCATTACCAAAGAATAGGTACTATGGCACAACAATATCCTCACTAATAGTTATTTGAATTTTGATTTAAAATTTTCACTGTATAACGTTTAATCAGTGATTAATATTCATTGTTGAATTAAGGGTATTGACAAGGAAGGACATTATGTTGAGAAATAACTGTTGTGCAAATCTTTTGTTTTAGAATTTTTTATTAAGGAATTACTGATATATCTCTGTATACATTATAACACGAAATATAGCATGTATCCTTCTTCTGTCATCTTCAGGCTTACAGCCATATGTTAAAACACTGGTTTCTCATACGATCACTGAAGTTAAGCAACATTGAGCATGATCACTATCTAGATAAGTGATCACTTGGGAATACCAGATGCTGTAAACTTGGATATGTGGGTTGTGTAATGAATAATAGCTCTGAATTGGAAATCAGAGAGCTGAGTTCCAATTCCAGTCAGGTTTGTTATTCACTTAAGTGCAAATACCCTTTGAAAAGTATTGTTCTAATTCTTCTGCTATGGGTTGTAAGACTTGTATCAGTAAATCATTATCATTTCCAAAAAAAATTTTTACAATCTAAAAATATTTTCTGGCTTTAAATAATCTGCAGAAAGTTGATAAGCTCTAAAAAACAAAAACAAAATTCAAGCCTGTCATCTTCATTGTTATTCTGAAGACATATATTTGGCTTTTCTATATTATTTATCAAATAACTATATTTTTAGATTGTGTGGATAGTGTAATGGATGTTGACATAGTGGAATTAGTAAGCTGTGTTCAAATCCTGGGCTAGTCTGTTACATTCACTTTTCTACAGATGTCCTTGAGAAAGGCATGAATCTGTCTCTTCTCCCCACTCCCCAGATATAGGTTAAATAACCTTGGATAACAGCAAGTTTTTAGAGAAGGAAAATTCTGAATTCCAAATCATGGAGAAGGCAACAAGAAACCACTCCACTATCTTTCTCAAAGAATGTATAGCAATTTACAGATAAAGAAAAGGAATCTGTGAAGTCATGATCACCTGTTTCCTGAAGGGACATGGCATTTTTAAAAAATCAACAACAAAAACCCTAATGCAAAAATAATGATTCTGATTTCAATATATATTTTTGGAATAATTTTAAAATTCTTGCAATCCATATGTTATTTGAGTGGCTATAATTGTTTTTTTACAGATGACAAAATTGGCAAACTTGGAACTTTATGCCCACAAAAAAATTATGTCAAAAGGATGTTTTTTTTTTTTTCCATTGTCACTGCTATTATTTTAACTAACTTCATTCCTCGGCAATGTTTACTGTTTTAAAAAAGCGATGATTAGAATTGTAATGAGATTTAAACATGAAAATTAATTAATAGTTTTTCTTTGTTCTTGAGAATTTACAACAAAAATTGAAATGGTTGGTAATTGCTAAATGATTGGAATTTTATAAAATAATAGTTGCTTCACATATTTTAATAATTTAGTAAATGTTTATAAGTATATGAATAAAAAATTGCTTTTATATTTATTTCTTTATGAATTGGTAAATGATAAATATTGCATAGCATTAGTTGTAATTGTATTAGTTTTTAGAATGTTGTAAATTTAAAATTATTCTTGTAAACAAGCTAATAAATAGTGTTTAATTTTTTTTGTTGTTAATTCTCAAGAACGAAAAACAAAATTATAAATTTACATTCATCATATGTTTAGGTTTTATCACAATTCTAATCATCGCTTTTTAAAACCACAAATGTTGTTAAGGAGCAAAGGTATTTAAAATAATGTGTCAATTGAAAAACTGTCCTTTTTGACACCTTTTTTTATTTTTTTCCAGCATGAAGATCCACATTTGTCACAAAATCTTTTTTATTGCACATTTTCTTAACATTAGGCATAAGTTGTACAACACAGCAAAACTAATTTATGGATGCTGTATCTAAAACGTTTTTTACACAGAAAAACTATTATATCTGTTTTATATTCATTAGAAAACTAACTGAAATTGTTTAAATAGTGATCATTGTATTGATATTCTTAATTTTGTTTTGTAGACTTCAGTAGATGACCGTGAAGCTGAGAACCAACTGGTTATGTTGTTGGGAGTGAGTCAGTTTGAATTCATAAAGTTACTCAGGCAACATAGACAAATGGGTAAGTACACAAGAAACATTTAATAAATACATACTTCCAATCATCATTGTAATTTGAGAAAAAAAAATATGAAGAAAACTTGTGTATCAGGAACCAAGAGATTATGTGAATGAGTGGAGAAACTGAGAAAGTATAGGGGTGAGGGATTAAATACTACTAGTTGCAACCACAGTTGGTGCGTAAAGAGGTATTCTGAGTATGAAAGAAGAATCCAGACAGGTAATGGGCGGATTATGATGTTTGTCAGTATTCATGCGGATACATAGTTAGCCTAAGGAAAGAAAGGGAAGAAGGAAGTTGGACCAAAAGATAGATGACAATGTAGTAGACACGAACTGTGTTGAACAACAAGGCAGAAATTTATGTTCCCTCCAAGAATGAAGTTAATAGAAACTTAGACGAGTCAAATCTTTACACTTCTGCCATCAAATTACATTCATCATCACTACTATTTTCATTGATAATTAAATATTTTATTTATTTATTTATTTTTTTTGAGTGATGTATTTATTTATTTTTTTTTTTTTTTTTTAATGTCATGTCCCTTGAGTCCATTGTTGACCATGGCTCTCCAGGTTCGTTTGCATCTGTGAATTGCCATGACTTCGTGGTAAATTGAGTGGGGAATGGTTTCCTGCTACCGTCTCCATGATTTTGAATTCATACTGCTCATCCTTTAAGACTGGTTAACACCCAAGGTTATCTAACTTTATAACCCATAGCTGTTGTCAGGGAGTAGAGATAGATTCGTTCTGGACATTTGTGTGAAATTGAATGCAACAGACAAGGCTGTAATTTAAAATTGGATTACTGATTCCACTTTCTAAGTCGATGACTGTTATGTTACCTGCATCTTCATCTTTCTTTTAGGAAGAAAAAAAAAAAAAAAACCTGGATAAATTTGCTGTCAGTAGTATCACATTATTGCAAGTGTTAAGTACTTTGGAGCCTGTTCAATATAACAACATTCAAGAAGATTTTTATAACTAATTTATTATAGTTATAGATAATATTTCATATTGAACCAGTTTAATTCCAATTTATTTTTTGAAATTTATTTCAGTATTATACTGTACAATGTTAGCACAGGCTCAGAGTGCCACAGAAAAGAAAGAAATTGAACAAAAGATGGAAGGAGATTCAGAATTGTCTGCCATTCTGTTGGCATTGCAGGCAACTGAAAAAGAAGACATTGTCAGTGAACAGAGAGCACGTAGACATCAGGCCCGCCAGTCACGTATGGCTGCAGATATGGAATCTTTACATGCAGATGGGATTGATCAGGTAAGTGCTCGATGAAGAGGTTTAATAATCGGCTTCTTTTGATAATGTAACCAATTCCCTTGTTTAATGTACTTGTTAGTAAATAGTGAAAAAAGAAAAAAAAAATGAATGGCTTTGTTTATTAAATGTTGTATTTACTTTCCCATGATGTTATTGTATAGTTTACCATCCTTAAAATAAGATAGTCATGGAATTGTTTAAAGTTTTATCTTTTTAAAAGTTTTAAAAAATAATTCCAAAATTATCAAGAAAGAAATGGCAAAGTTTAACAGTTGTATCTGCAAAAAAAAAGTGTCAAAAGGAAGGTTTTCCTCTGGTCACCGCTATTACCGTATATTTCCTCGGCAATTTTTTATTGTTTTAAGAACCTATTTATAGAATTTTAATAAAACCTAAACATATGAAACTGGATTTATACATCCTCTTTTTACTTGAGAATTGACAAAAATATTAAACATTATTTATGTAAATATAAAATTATTCTTGTAAATAAAAAATCTAATAAACAAATGGTGTTTAACATTTTTGTTGTCAGTTCTCAAGAAAAAAGAATGTATAAATTTGGTTTCTATAAATAACTTTTTAAGACAATTAAAATTGCTGAGGGCGTATAACATTAATAATGTCAAGAGAAAAACCTTTCTTTGACACTGTTTTTTGTTAAACCATGCAAAAAAAAAAAAAAAAAATGGTGCTTTTAAAAAAAAAAAGGTTCTCTTTGTCCTTTTGTGTCCGTTTTGATGTGAATTCTTTTAGAAAGTAACACTACAAGTGGGTGGGTGTGACCTTAGTAAAAGAAGGGAAATAGAAGAAAAAGTTACTCCCAAGCGAAACAACAGCAACTGACAGAAGAAAAACACCTTACCTTTTTTATATCTGGATTTGGTAGGAATTATTTCGCAACGGATTGCTGGTGTTGTGACCTTGGTTTGGAACTCTCAGTTCTAATGCCTGATAATCAAATAATTAAGGGTAGATCAAAGTGGATCTATGGTAGATATATAAGTTAGATTAAATGTAGATCAGTAATTGAGAACATGACATAGGAAAGAAGAAAGGTGAATGATTCAACTACAGGAGAAAATGAGCCTCTTTGACATAGGCAAAATGTGATATGTGACCATTTATGCAAAATAACATGTAAATAAAAAATAATCCAAGTAAGGCAGGTGTTTCTCTCTCTACACCTCGCTCTGCCAGAAACAGCTGGAAGGTAAGTACCCATTACTTTTTCTGATATCAAAGAAAACAGTTCTTTCATTTTTGTTTTAATGTTTTAACTGTCCATTCTTCAATCTTCTGTTGCAAGGTCTTGTTAGTTTTGTTTTACTTCAAATCTATATAATGTCTTATTATCCTGGTATATTGTGCTGATCTATCTGCATTCAGTATAGTACTGAAAGTTTGATTTTTGCATGATGTTGAGGCAACATGTGGATAGTGTAATAATAGGATCAACAATCTCGGTTCAAATTCTGGCCTTGTCTGTTGCATTCACTTTCACACTAATACCTTTTCTGACCCCCACCTTGCCAGGGTTGAAATAGCAAAGTAGACTAGGCTCTCTAGCTGATCTAGGAGAAGGACAACTCTGAATTCAAAACTGGAGCAGGCAACAGGCAAACTACACTTAAGAAGTTGTGGTAGTATACAGATAATGAAAAGGAATCTAGAGTGCCATGTTTGCCTACATTCTGAAGGGACATGGCATTAAAAAGATTGTAATCTAAAATAGTGCATTGTAGCCACAGCTATTGAAGTAAGATACCATTAAAATGCACCATGTTTAATAGCCCCCACCCACCATCTTTTCAAGGATGATGATTATTGAAATCTAATTGAAGAGTACTATATTTTTATTTATTTTTTAATATATAAGTAAAAAAAAAAAAAAAATTGGGGCACTCACAAAATATCTCCCATTTACGTAGGAGGTTATATAATTTGTGAAGGAGCAAATTCACTGATAATCTTTGCTGCCATTATAATTTTTCTTCTGAAGAGTGATTAAAGTATTGTTTACAGGAGACCACTAAACTCTCAAGAAGAAGAAAAAGCGAAACCTAGGGAGGATTTTATAGTCGTATATATGCTGTTAGTTTTGAAAGTAAAAGAATGTGTAGTGTGTGTCTCACCCCAGATCATGCCACAATGGACTTTGCATTATGTGTCCTTTGGAAAAGCTTTGAGTAGGGTTGATCTAACAGATGACCTTTTGGCCTCTGGTGCAGATCCACCTGGTATGTGAATAGCTGCACAGAAGGAAGCTTGGTAGTTGTTCAGACGTTGCAGACAAGAACGTAAGGTGTATGTTTTGGGCAATGGCCTTGAGGCTGTGTGCATGCATGAATACATACATACATATGTACACACACACTAGTTGACAGAAAATGATGATTGTTTTATTATGGTTTATCAACCCTTTGTGAATTATGTAAAGACAAAAATATATTTTGGATTGTAAGTTTTTTTTTTTTTTTTTTTGTAATATTGCATTGACAATTTTTGGGAGATAACAATCTTGCTTTGTACGAATGCTACTGTTTAACCCATAGCTGGGGAGGAGATGGCTTCATGCTTTTCCCAAACATATTTGCACATAGATGAATGTAATTAACTAGACTAGCATTTGAACTCAGCTCGCTGATTTCTCATTCCAAACTATGATACATTACACCACCAGCACACCTTAGAAAATTACATAGTTGGGATTTGAATAAAATGTAATGTTAAATCTTGTGTTTTCATTATATAGCAAAATGATATGTCATTACAAATGTACCGATATGATTTTTAAAATGGGTTTACATTTGATATGTGTAATTATTTGTTTTTAAAACAGGCTGTTGGAAGTGTGCAATTACTGGATTTGGAAGATCTGATATTCACCCAAGGTAGTCATTTGATGGCAAACAAAAGATGTCAGCTGCCTGATGGCTCCTTCCGGAAACAGCGCAAAGGTAGTTGTCTATGATTTTATTAGCTTCTCCAGATCCATCATTGACCATTAATTGATTGATAAACTCACAGGAATACAAAAACGAATTAAAAAAATAAAAACATTGCCTTATCTGGATTTATAGGTTTTTAACAGGTGGCAAAAGATCAACCTTACTGGAAGTTAAACCATTATTTGCTAACTCTAAATTGCTCTGTTGATATAAAAGACAATATGACATGACTTGCTTATAAGTTATTGTGTTTAGATATTGATACTTTTTTTTTTTTTTTGCATGAATAATGTTTTGTTGTTTTTTTGTAGGTTATGAAGAAGTACATGTACCTGCGTTAAAACCAAAACCATTTGACCAAAATGAGGTTAGTACTCAGCTCTTTCTTAGTTCTACTACAGGAAGACATCATATATCCTCTTCTGACAGCATAAGATAATTTGTTTATAGTCTTTGTCATTTGATGGTGTTGCTCCATGATGCTCTCTCCACTAGGCCTATATGCAGTTCTGAAGTAAAAGCTGACATTCTTGTTCAGTATTGCTTGAAGAGTTTCCAAACGAAATTCTTTATCATGGAACTTGGATGCAGACATTATTTTTTTTCTGGAGTCAGTCTGCAATTTAGACAACTGAAACAAAGAGAGGAAGGAAAGAAAAAAAGAATTGGACTGAAAAGTATTTTTTGCTACAACCAGTTGTTCTGTTGAAGTAAAGACAGACAAACTGCTTTTGAAACCACACTATAGTTTATTAATATAGGTTCTTAGCTTAGATTTAGTAACCAGGTTTTAATCTCATAGTGAACTGGTTACAATGATGTGCAGAGGTTTGGTTAAGCTCGGTGCCAACTCCTTAATTGTATGTCCCTAAAACTCGAGGGTGGTGGGTTTACTCCGGTCTTGCTTATCAAAACAGAGATCCACATTTACATCAGCTTGTGGGACTGTAGGGCACTTGTACAACAAAGTTAACAGAGACAATTTTAAAAACAAAATTTTTATTTCATTTTTTGATTGGATGTCCTCACAATATGGATGCCTGGAGTCTTGCACCCTCTGACCCTACTACTTCTGCATGTGACTGCCTGGTTATTGAATTTTTCTTATTCAACAAAAATTTATTTCATTGTAAGAAAGTCATTTTATTATTATCCTCCTCTTCTCCATCGTTTGCTTAAATGAGCAAGTTTCTTCTGTTCTGCAATGGTTCCCTTAAAGATATATATATATATATATATATATATAAAAGAAAAAACATTAAATTATTTTGATATTCTGCTCGGTAAAAAATAAGTTAAAAATATTTGAAACTTTTCAAATTTGCTAATGGCAGCTGGCATGTTTACTAGCTATAATTAGTCAAGCATTACATATTTTATTGTCAAATAATGCAATTTTTAAACATTTCATGAATTTTATTTTATTTATTTATTTTTTTATTAAAATGTTATTTTTGTGGCTATCTGTATTGGGGTAGACACTCCATTTATTTTAAACAGTATTTATTTTGTCTACCAGTTTGCATAATCAAGAGAGCTTAATAAAGAAAATGTGTCATCCATTATCACTTGAACCTGCGTTCCTCTTTGCAGGAAAAACCACTGCTTGATCTGGCGTGTTTTTATCACTCATCCACAAAGAGTGTCATGATAAAGAAAAATTCTATTTTGCCTTTAAAGCACACCAACTCATTCAGATTTTTCTGAAAGATATCTGCTCTGTTTTTTTTTTTGTTTTTTAACTTCAGATGTTTATTTGAGTACAGTTTAGGGAATTTTGACAAGAGACAAAGCTATGTTCTTTTTTTTAATTATTACAACTGATATTTACATTTTTTATTACTATGTTAAGTAATATTTTATAAAATGAGTAGGAATTAAAGAATTATTCATATATTGTTAAATATAAATTTCTTAAATAATATTTTGCTTATTACTAAATTTAAGGGCAATTAAATGTCATGTAAGTTGTTCAGATTTTTTTTTTTATCAGATTATCTTGTACTCTTTATTAAAACAAAGGAAGTAATAAGTCATTTCTTAAAAAAAAATTTTCCTTGACAATTTCTCTAAATTTATTTTATTTACTAATTTCAGACACTGGTTCCTATTGACCGCTTACCAAAATATGCTCAACCAGCCTTTGAAGGCTTTAAAAGTTTAAATCGTATACAGAGTCGACTTTTTAAAACAGCTTTAGAAACAGCTGAAAATATATTGCTATGTGCACCCACAGTAAGTTTTGTGTGTTTTGTCATTTCTGTTTTAGAATTTAACAAAAAAAAAAATAAGTTAAATAAATGAATTTTTGTTAGGAGTCCTTTATAATTTTTTTTTTATTGGTAAAGATGAAAATATAAGACAGTTTTTTGTAAACAGTTAGAAATATTTATTTTTTTTTTTTATTAATTCCTTAAGCAAAATACAAACACCACCTCAGAAGAGAATATTGGTTTGAGTTAGAGGGTTAGTTAGCAGTTTGTAAGATTAATATGTGAATATTTTCACCCTTGATAGTTAAAATTTAGTACAGTACTAAGTAAAAGAAAATGTATGGAATGCTTCAAAATAATAAGATGTAGAAATATGATTATTTTCTTAGATATTTAGATCAGCATGCTTATCTTGATTTTTTTTTTTTTTTTTTTTTTTTTTTTCATACTGTATATATGATCTATGACTAAAGATATAAGAAAAATGTTTGGTCCTCTGTCACATTCTAATAAGTACCTGACTCTTTTTGTGCTATCCATTACCTTTACAAGATTCAAATCAGGCTTAAAATGGAATACTTCTGTGATATTTGGGCAGGAGCTACCCAGTCTTCACAGTCCAAAAGTGTTTTTGTCTCCTTGTGGGTTACAAAATATTTTCCACCCTAAAACCCCTCTCTCACAGATAAGATGTTGCAAACCTCTTGCTGCTCTCTTGGTACTTCCATGGAAAGTGCTCAGCTGAACTACATTCCCTAGTTTCATCAGTTGCAACTTACATGGCTAGGATCTGCCATGCTACATATTCCATCCGTATTCCATTGGTGAGAAGTCAGTTCCACTTGAGCAGCTTCTTCCTGTGAACAACTGCTCTGTTGAACAGACTCCAAAAAGGATGTTTCCCTGATCACTACAATCTTAATCTATTTAAGTCTCGCGTTAACTGTTATCTTCCCCATATAAACTGTCCCTCTTACTCTGTAACCCTCTACCTTGAGTTGCTCCTGGGACTTTAACATGGTGAACCTCACTGTTAGAAAAAACATTAAAAAAAAAAAAGAAGGTTTTAGCCATAATACTTTTCATCCTTCTTTAGTTGTCTGTATTTATGCCAATATTACTAATATTCTCTAAGCATGGAAAGCAAAATGAGAACATTCTACTTACATGGATTCAATAAAAGGATTGGCTCAGAATTCCAAGAAGGTTACCATATATGAAGACAGACACCTGAAGAAGTCTTGAGTGTACAATGATCGAAATGTTGAGTATAACAATTAAGGTGAGCATGCTAGTCTGAATAGCAAAGAATATAATAGCTGTAAAATAAGTTTTAATTTAAAAAAAATTGGAAACATAACTATTATAATTTTTTTTAATAAAGCTTTTTATTAAGCATATTATTTATTAAAAACTTTAGTTTTTGTAAATAATTTCTATACTTGTTCTGTTAGTATGTAGCTAGGTTTAGTGGGTTTTTAATTCAATTATTATTCATGCATTTTTATCTCTGCATAAAGAATTTTATTTTTAAATTCTTATTTGGGGAAAATGTGTCTTACATGCCAAACCCAATATAAGGTAAAACATTTTCTAATTGAATGCATTGAACTTGATGCCAAAAGGCACAATTTCCTCAAGGTAAACAGCCTAAAAGAACTATTCAAAAATAGAATTAAAACATTCCTGAAATCAGTTGGATTATATCTGGAAATATAAAGAAACAAAACAAAGAGTGTCCGGTTTCCCTAAATATAAACCAAAATAAATCAGCTTTGGCATAAAGTGACTCCAAAGAATTATGCCCTTAAAAATTCACTTAAAATTTTTTTGAAAAGCCAAGTTTGAACATAAAAATCCAATCTACATTTTTTTTTTTTTTTTTTTTTTTTTACTTAGATCCACTGAAAAAGTAAGCATGTATTCACAATAGGATAAGCAAATTCGATCTACTTAAATATATTCAATGTTACTGCATCTTTTTAATTTTTGTATACTGTCTTAATGATTAATATCAAATCATCTATAAATTGGTTCGATGACATTTGTGAAGATTTATTATGCTGAAATATTTTGACATTTTGTTAATCTTATTTTCACAATCCAAAACCAAGGTGACGAAAAGCACAATTAAGTCCCCTTAAGATTTTTAAGGGACTTAAATCTGTAAAGCTAAATATAAAACATTTGGTAACTTGATTTATGCATAATCCCCTTGTAGCAGAAATGAGTTTGAGTGGATTTTTCAGCTTTTGGTTTAGCTAAGATTGAATGTGTGAGTGGTGTAATGGATAATGACTCGAGTTGCAGAGTAGAGTTCCAATCTGTCAAGTTGGTTATATTCACTTACATGCAAATATCCTTGGAAAAAGTATCAATCTACTTCTACCCCACCACTCCAGTGAATGTTTAATTAGTAAGTTTTGATCATTATCTCCAAAAGATTCTTACAATCAAAAAATCTTTTTTGGCTTTAAATAACCTGCAAAAAGGGTTGATAAGTCATAAAAAAACCAAATCAATCAATATAATACAGCAACAGTATTGCAGTAAAAGTAATGGGAGCAAAGAATAAACCCTCAATTTGGATTCTTTTTCTTTTTCCAGGGAGCTGGTAAGACCAATGTTGCTTTGCTTTGTATGCTGAGGGAGATTGGTAAACATATTAATTCAGATGGAACGATCAACGCAGATGACTTTAAAGTTATTTATATAGCTCCTATGAAATCTTTGGTACAAGAAATGGTGGGAAACTTCACTGAGGTATGACACCTACATTGTTTTTTTATACAGGTTTTTCAGATTTTTTTTTTTTTTTTTTGTAATGAACTGTTTTGTATAAGAAAATTAAAACTTGTTCAATTTTATGTAGTATATACTAATTAGGTCATATTCTTCAAAATATATTAAAAAAAAAATACTTTGCTAAATATATTTTTACAGGATTTCTCTACAAAATTAGATGGAAACTGTTTTTGGCAATTTCTATTCTGCAAACTTTTTTGGCAAACTTGGACCTTTATGCCCACAAAAAAAAAATGGAGTGTCAAAAAGATGTTTTTTCTCTTGACACCACTATTATTTTTACTACCTTCATTGTTTTAAAAAGCAGTGATTAGAATTGTAATAAAACCTAAACATCTGAAGAAAGTGGATTTAAACATTTTTTTTCTTAAGAATTTACAACAAAAATATTAAACACTTATGTATTTATTAGATTGTTTATTTACAAGTATATTTTATATTTGTAATATTCTGAAAACTAATACATTTGTCTTTATCATTTAGCCATTTATAAAGAAATAAATATGAAAATTTTTTATTCATAAATATATAAACATTTACTAAATTATATGTGAACTAACTATAAGGAAATCTTTATTTACCATTTGATAAAGTTCGAATCTATAGACAATTAGCCAGTATTTTGCCAACAATTCCAATAAATGATCTAATAGAGTTTATTATTTTTGTTGTCAATTCTCAAGAACAGAAGAAATGTATAAATTCACTTTCATGTGTTTAAGCTTTATTAAAATTCTGATCATTATTTTTTAAAAGAATAAACATTGCCAAAGAGTGAAGGTAGTTAAAATAATAGCAGTGTCAATGGAAAGACTGTTCTTTTGGCACTCCATTTTCTGGGGTGGCCATAAAAATCCAGGTTTGCCAATTTTTCTTTTAATTTGCTTACAATGTAAAAAGGAAATTTAAATCCATATCAATTCTGCATATTAAATAAATTTGTTGGATTCTTTCTTCATATTTATAAGCATTTTGTGTCTTTTTATTAGTTTTTGATTTGTAGAGAAAGCAGATATAAACTGGCTTTTGCAAAAGTCCTCTTCTTTTCCGTTCAGATTATTGCCTTTTTGTTATGACTTCATTATAAGAAAATTCTTATTCACTCAAGCAGGTGAAGAAAATGCTTTACCAATTTTGTAAAATTCCACTTAGTTTTATGTTTTTCTATTTGTTTCTATTGGCTTCATTCATTTAAGAATCCAACTCTATGAGATATGGCATTAAATGCTTTAATTTTCGATTGTCATGTTTTATTAACTTGGATATCTAAGAAAGTGTTGGTTTATAGCCATAGCATGTTGAAACACTGGTTCCTGTATGATCATCAAAGTTAAGCGATGTTGAGCCTGGTCAGTACCTATATAGATAACTGATTAGGAATACCAGGTGCTGTAAGCTTGGATGTGCAGGTGGTGTAATGGATAATGACTTGAAATTGTTAATTGGAGAGCCAAGTTCCCATTCCCATTGGATTCATTATATTTGCTCATACATGAATACCCTTGGGAAAGGTATGAATCCACCTCTTTATCCAGTTATGGGTTAAATAGCAAGACTTGTATCACTAAACCATTCTTCCCAACTAAAAAATATTTTCTGGCTTTAATTAACCAGCCAAAAGTTGATAATCTGTAGAAAACAAATCTGTCAATCAATAAGAAAATATTTATGATCTTTATCTCAAAACAGATTGATTCATTTCCATATTAATTTCTAAACTAAATCATTAAAAATCATAGGGATTTAAGAAAACTTTCTTCTCTACTCACAAAATTTAAAAGATAGAATATTTGTGAATTTTACTTGCTTAAAAATATTTGTATAAATTTCAATAACTTTACTAGCTGCTTGGTCAATAAAAGCCATTTGTTTCCTTATAAGGAAACAGCTAATATTATCATTATGATTACAATACAGAAATTTGACACAAAGCCAGAAAAAGTGTGTATGACGAGGTTCTGGTTATACAGAATCAGAGAAAAATTAAACTTCCTACACAACCCATACACACAGTATTACTCCTCATCCTACACTTTTTCAAATACAAGGTTAGGGAGTAAACCCCCCCCCCAAATAACGGAAAGAGCAATAACAGCCACAGTACTTGAAACATATTTTCCTAAAATATTGTTTTAAGAGAAAAATTTTATAAATTTTAACTGACAGTAGTACTGGCTGCTCGATCAATGAATGTCAAATGTTTCCTTATATTACTATTACCATTTAACGTGAATTTTTTTTTTTTTTTATCAATTAATAGAGGTTGAAATCTTATGGATTGAAAGTAGCTGAATTGACTGGTGACCACCAGCTAACCAAAGAACAAATAACAGCCACTCAAGTGATTGTGTGCACACCTGAGAAGTGGGATATTATTACAAGAAAAGGAGGAGAGAGAACCTATACACAAACAGTCAGACTTATGATATTTGTAAGTAATTTTCTATTTTTTTTTTTTTTTTTTTTTTTTAGTCATGTCTGTAATAAATATATTACCGGTGAGTATAAATGTGTCAGCAGTGATGGCCAAAATGAGCAAGGTAGTATGGGACTACAATCAACTGACCTTGTGTGTTGAACTAAAAGTACATTGCTTTATAGCAAAGAAACTTGAATGACCTACACCAGGCAGGAAAGCTGCCTGGAAAGTTTCCATCTCTTGCTTATGACATGTCATCAGCATTGCATGGAGAGACAAAGTTACCAACACTACTGTGCTGGAGCAAGCAGACTCCTGGAGTATGCATCTTCTCGGTTGTTTTCGGTGACTGGGTCACATACATACCAATCAATGAGGTACATTTTTTTTTTTTTTTTTTTTTTAATCATTTCACCTCAAACAGGCGGGAGTGCCATTAGTACACAGGGGATTACAGAAAGTGAAAGTGAGAGAAAATACTGGGATGATGAAAGGATAAAAGATGAACAGGGTTTAAGTCAACTGAAGATGGCGGTTGATATTGCATTTAAATTTTTGAAGATTGTAGTTATCAGGGAAGCAAGTAAGAGGAAAGGAGTTCCACAGTTGGAAAATGTGAGAAAAGAAACTGTTAGACTAGAAGTGGTGGTTACATTTAACTATTTCAACAGTAAAAATGTGGGACCTAAATGCCAATCTAGTAGCATGCTTAAATTCGTGTAGTCTGGCCACCTGGGGAAATAGCTCATCAGTGCAGTTGTCATAAAAATATTTGTAGAAAAGACAGAGGGAAGCCATATCACATCTGTGAGAAAGTGAATGAAGTTGAGATGCCAGGTCAGAATCGATTACATTGCAGATCCTACTTTGGATTTTGTCAAGAACCTTTAGATGAATAGCAGGGGCACCATTCAGGTATGATAACAGTATTCAATGCACAGATGAATGGTAGATTTATAGATGTGTAACATCTAACGTCAAAAAAAAAAAAAACCTACTGGCATGACACAGAGAACCAACCTTCCTTTCAATGTAGTTGTTCCACTTCAAGTCAGTTTTGACTTGAGATTAAAAATGTTTTTAAAACTACCCCAAATTATTACTGTTTTATTTTATATTTATAAATACTGTAAAATTGTTTCCATTTAATAAAAGAATAATTAAGAAAAAGAAAATTACAAAATCAGATAAAAAAAATAAAGTGAAAATTGATTGGTGATTTTTTTTTTTTTTTTTTTTCAACTAAAGGTTGACTCGGTAATACTCAGTGTAAAGGGTTACTGAATGCGGTATGTGATATGGATGTAACAGAAGGAAGTAGGAAGTGCAGATTATGAGGATATATAAGATAAATAACAATTGACAAAGAGGTTAAGGTTGTAGTGATTGGGGAAGAAGCTGTCCGAGTTGAACTTCCTTCTTATCAATGTGATACGAAGGATAATTCAACTCTATGTATGTACCATTGTGGCTTTTAGCTGTAACGGTTTGAACTGGTCGAACTAAGGAATATCACTCATCTGAATATACTGATGGGACAAAGCAACAGATGTGGAATTGTGAAGTATAAATGAATGTGGAATTTCTGTGTTGCTAAATTTATAAAATTCCTTTCTTTTCAGGATGAAATCCATTTACTCCATGATGACAGAGGACCAGTACTTGAATCACTGGTTGCAAGGTAATTTTTAATTTTTTTTTTTTTTTTTTTAAATTAAAACCACTTTCTTTTAAGGTCAATGATTTTCTTGAAAGGGAGATATACAGAAAAAAAAAAAAAAAAGGAAAAAGAAACAAAAATGTATTTGTAGAGTGAGTATCCATGGTTAAATGCAAAATAAGTGACAGAACTGTCCATCAAACAGAATTGACAGTTTGCAATAAACATTAACAAGAAAAAGAAAAGAACAGGGGAGAAAAAAGTAAAGCAAGGCAAATTAACAATAATATGGTAAGAAGTTCACAAACTAAGAATTGTGGTTGAAACACAAAAGCTAGTTTGGACAAGCGAACATAGCTTTCTGACTTCAAGATGAGACAGAATGGGACTGAGTCAAATGAAATCAAGAACTGGCCTATTTGGTAGGAAGAAATCTCAGCATGCATTTGTGTGCTTCTGCTTATAAATTGGGGAGAGGAATGTTTTGTGGTCATTCCCTAAACAATTGGCACCAACCATATTTCACTGAATTAACTCGTATGACAACACTTCACCAATTTACTTGACCTTTCTCTTCTACTTGTGTGTAACATCCATTTACTGTTCCAGTGAAAGATGGATGCTTGTTCAAAAGAAAAATTCACAATACGCAAAAAGCTATTGATAATTGTTGCTGTCAAATACTTGATTAGGTTGTGGTTTGGATGTTATATATATCTTTGTTTACTTATGTCCAGAATCAGAATGATTATGTATAACTATGTTATATCTTATTATTCAGTTTATTCTTTTCCTGATGAGACTGGTGGTACTATTGTTGACATTGAACCAAAAAAAAAAATAAACAACTCATTAGTTATGATTAATCATTATTATATATTAAAAAAAAAAAGTTAATTTTTCTGTCTGCCATACACCGTCTCTGTGTGACTTTGCATATGTAATGTATATACTTTTATCTGTGGTGTGCATGTGTCATTTAATGTATATACAAGCACAAGCTTACACACGCACAAACACAATTTGATTAAGTTTTGAAAAGAGACATTTCAATATATTTTTCTCTCACTCACTCGGGACAACCACTACCTTGGTATAAACAATAAAATCATAAAGTTGGAAAAAAAGATTAATTTTAGATCTGTCATTGAATTAAAATATGTGTGCAAATGCTAACATTTGAATGAAATTGAAATAACATCTGTTACAGGGTCTAATTTCCCTTTCTGTCTGGTAACACTCCCTGGAGAAACAGAAGCCAAAATGAGTGATCTTTTGAAGTCATCTTTATGACTCCTGTTTTTAAACTGAATGCATATTTCTAATAAATGTAGAAACAATTTAGAGTCAAAATGTGATCAACTTGCCATTTGCAAATGGATAAGTACCAAATTAATACTTTTTATTTTAAATTTCTAGTCATGAATAATTTTATTGGTGCCTGCTTTGAAGAGCAAGAAAAATAGTAAGCACTAAATATGCTAAAATATTTTATTCTCTTTAATATTGTAGAACAATTCGTAATATTGAGACAACCCAAGAAGAAGTCCGCCTTGTTGGACTCAGTGCTACTCTGCCTAATTATGAGGACATATCTACATTCCTGAGAGTTGATGCTGCCCAGGGTCTGTTTTTCTTTGATAACAGCTACCGTCCCGTGCCTCTTGAACAGCAGTTCATTGGAATCACTGAAAAGAAAGCTGTGAAACGATTTCAGATTATGAATGAGATTGTTTATGAGAAAATCATGGAACATGCTGGGAAAAATCAGGTTTGTAACATTCTGCACTTTTTTTCATCCAAAAATATACAATTAAGATGTGTTATTTTTTTATTTTTATTTGTTACTTCATTTCAGTACATCCAAGTTACACTAAAGTTATTTACTAATATTTGTTTACAAGTTTAATAGATATATATTTAGAAAAAATGAATTGTATGAACTGAATTTCAAATCTTATTAATGACTTCACCCTAGTTAAGGCAGTGCTTCCCAAACTTTTTTCTCTGGGCTGCATTTTTGGAATGAGAATTTTCTCGTGCATCACCAAATTTTACATGATAAAAAGTACATTTGAAAATAAAAAACAGAAAGGGTAAAATGGAATCGGAATCTTGTCATTGATAACTCTTTCCTCCTATTTGTGAACCCCAGTATTCTTAATACTTGATATAATGCAAAAATATCATGGTGATAAAATTGGTTAATAATTATTTATACTGGGACTTTTGCATGCGATTTCAAGTAATCTATAATGTTTTAAATTTTGAAATCATATTCATTTTTGTCATATGAATTTTTTTAAACTATTTCTAAATCTTTGATTGTTTTTCAATCATTCTGCCTCACCTGCTAATCTCTTCCACCACACATATGAGGTGCACTGCACTGTTTGGGAACCACTGACTTAAGGCATGAAAAATATTTTCAACTACTTGTATTATGTGTTTTACAAAAAAAAAAAAAATCAAGTTACAATTATTAGGTTGTTGCAAAAGATTTGAGTATATTTTCTCAAATCTTTTATTAATATAAATTCATAGTGTCGTTATTCAAGTGTCAAAATATTTTCTATGGATTTCTATCACCTTATGCTGTCTTTTGGCTAAATTGTGTCTTCTGTTAAAAGAACAGTGAGGTTTTTAATATCTTAAATGAACAACCAGGCACTTTGTATTCTATGGGACAAAACCAGGAATAGTCTGAAGCTGTATTTGGAGACTATGCCACATGCAGAAGAACTTGTAACAGTATTTGTTGTATTGTATTTGCATTGTGAAGACAAATGTTGTCATATTGCAAAATCACTACTTTGTCAAAATATGTCTTTTCTCTGTTGGGCAAGAAGAAAAAGTCAAAAGATTCTAAAACGGTTGTGTCTGTAAGTTCATGTGGAACCCATTTTCTTAGCTTCTGAATTTTTTTCTGTGCTTATGTAGGAATTAACGTACATATCCCATGGATATTAAAGGGAGATAACTAGTCATTTATTACTGGTTTGGAAACAATTCTTACTCCATTTATTATTCCCATTACTCTGATTCTGTTTTTTACTCTGTATTGATATTTTCAGGCAAGCTTTTAAATTTTATTATTTTATTTTCATTTTATCAATTTAGGTGCTTGTTTTTGTTCACTCTCGAAAAGAAACTGGGAAAACGGCCAGAGCGATTCGTGACATGTGCCTGGAAAAAGACACACTTGGGTCATTCCTTAAAGAAGGGTCTGCATCCACTGAAGTTCTACGAAATGAAGCTGAACAAGTCAAGGTAAATAAAAGAACCAAACTTTGAGCCTATAATCTTTTTTTTTTGCAACTGTTTATATATTGTCATTATTACTCCTCTGCCATCTTTACATTACTCTTGATAATCCAAATAATTATCTTGTTGCATTATGAATTTTTGATGAGCTTTTCTCAGTCAAAGATGCGAGTTCAAGTCTTGTCAGAAGTTACTTCATTCTTACTTTACCACATCTGAACTCTTAGTATTGGCTGGCTACTCATTTCTGAGCATACCAGTCTATTAGGGCAGTTAGCCAATCCCTGTTCTAGACACCTATTCGGGCACATGTCTGTTCAGCACCTAGAGAGCCCGCCTGTGGCTTATACTGCACAAACCTTATTTACAGTTTTGGGGAGAAAGTGCATAATCTGTTGTGATCAACAGTTTGAACAAGGCTGTATGCTCAAAACCTTAGTCACAATGTTAGCACAATCATTGACAGCTTCTGAAAAGTTCCATCTACCCAATTTCACTTACAGAGCTTGGATCAACCTGTAGTTTGTTTACAGACACTTTGAAAAGATTCTTTTAACACACTGTTCTTTTTGTTGGCACAATGTTTAAAGATGGCCAATTTATTTGTTTGCACATTTAAGATATTTTTCAGCTACAATGATTTCTTTTTTTTTGCTCATATAATTTTAATGTTTTTTTGTTTTTTTTTACTTGTAGAATCTGGAACTAAAAGACTTGCTACCATATGGTTTTGCTATCCATCATGCTGGAATGACAAAGTAAGATTATCAGTTTCCTTCTGGTCTTTTAGGGATCTATTTAATATTTCAAGGAGTTATTAAGAATGGTAAATTTTTAATGAACAACAAACATTTTTATTTTTTTGGACAATTCTAGTTTGAACATGGCTGTAGATGTAGGATTTGATTTTGAAATACTGGGGAAAATGGAAACCAAAAGGCCACGTCTACTTTGATTCAGAGACAGTTGAAACTTCACAAGCACATAACGAGGAAAGAGGGCTGGGAGAATTTGGTGCTCACAGGACATATTGAAGAAAAGAGGGACAGAGGAAAGCAGTGAATAACCTACTTAAGGAGCTTGTGTAAATGGTTGGGAGAAACAAGGTTTAGGGGAGTTAGCATAAAGACAAATTTCTTCTAGAGTTACAAAGGACAGGAAATTGTGGAGAGCCATGATCACCCCTGTCCTGAAGGGACATGGCATATAGAAGAAAATTGATACAACAAAATTTCATTCTTTGCTTATTGGTATAAAATGCAAACTAATGCTTAATTTATTTTATTTGTTTTTTTTTTTGTTTTTTTTATCGAGAGTTCATCCCAAGCAAGGCAGCAAAACCACTAAGACACACTGCTCACTCTTCCATAAAATATAAACAAAAAGTAATTTATCAAAATAATTTTTTTTTTTTTTTTTTTTTTAATTAAACAAAATGAAATTAGTTTTCCATAAGAAAATTTTGAATATGAACCAATTTACATTTTTAGATAAATTTTGTGGGAATGTAATTTAAGTTTAAAAAAATTGAATTTATTTTGACAACTGTTGACCTGATAAAAAATATTTCTTTTATTAATTTCTTGATTGAATTTTTCTTTTAATTTCTTGTAGAGTTGATCGTGCTCTTGTAGAAGATTTGTTTGCTGATCGTCACATTCAAGTGTTGGTGTCTACCTCGACATTGGCTTGGGGTGTCAACTTACCAGCACATACAGTCATAATCAAAGGGACTCAAGTCTACAACCCCGAAAAGGGAAGATGGGTTGAACTGAGTGCTTTAGATGTTATGCAGGTATTTGAATTAACATTTTAAAAAAAGATTGAGTGATGTGAAGACAAATAGCACTCTTTTTGTTTCAAAGAAACGATTATTCAATATTTAACAAAATTTCCTCAGTGTTGATCAGCATTTTCGAATATTTTGTTAGCAACTGTATTTTGGGTTAGAATATGTTTTTTATATTTACTGTTGGAATAGTACTGTAACTTTATCATTAAACCAGAAAAACATTAGAGGAAGAGGTAATAAACATCCTTACCAGATGCTATGGTCAGAACTTTTTTTTTTTTTTTTTTTTTTTTTTTTTGTATTGAAGCTGTTAATTTACACTATTAGGATAGTTGTCCTCCTCTTTATTGCCATATTTATGACATTTTGGCCATTGTATGTTCTGACATTCTTCAGGACACATGGCCCAGTGAATTGATTGGTTGATTGATCCAAAAGTGACTTAACCCAAAGCGTTGTGTGTTTATTACCTGGCCACAGCTGAGGGGACGAAAAAAAACTTGCAGTTGAGTTATCAAGGAGAATTAACTGAAACTGAGATATTCAAAGGCATGACACATGGAATTAGAACAAGCTACCCCTGTGAACTCAAAGGGTTCGGTTTGAAATTAACTGGAAGAAGACTGGAATGTACAACGGCTGTAATGTCTTGAATATGGCAATAAAGATGAAGATAACAGTTCAAATAATGTAAATGGTGTAAATAGTTACAATACATCATCTCAGAAATATACACAGATGAAGGATATTTGGTACATCTTTCTCGAATTCCAGTGTGATGCACCTTTTAGTTATAAATTAGGTTTGTGTGTGAGACATTTTAATTATAGACTGTTGTGATATGAGATATAGCTATGAAAGAAGGATATATATACTCTCTAGTTTATAAGGAGATATTTTTTTAGCTGAAAAATCTGTTTTAGTGGGTCACAGACACTGAATTTGATAGCAGTATTACTGTCTTATTTTGTGTAGCATTGACTTGCAAATGGAAGTTTAAACATGAACTTTCCACTTCAGAATTTTACGAGTTGACTTATACAAAGCCTATGTAGTAATTGTTTACCCAGGTTGTAGTGACATAAAACTGGATTGGTATTTTCAATCTATTTTAACTAATTTTTATTATCATTTGTCTTGTTCAGTGGCAACTTTTGTTTTGATGTCATATCTATTTCACTTTTAATCCTCTATTCACTGGGTGCACTATAAATCTGGCCTTGTACCAAACTTAGTCCAATACATTTTGTTGCCTGATTTTTGTTATCTGGCATGTATTTTATGTCCTGCAAAATTCATCTTTTCTAAATTTAGTGCTATTTATTAACAAAAAAAAAAACAAGAGTCTTTGCACTTTTTGTCTTCCCTCTGTCACTTTCTTGAATTACCTATTTCACTTCCAATTCTGGTTGACTTGTATTTATAAGTACTTTATATTTGCACCTTGTTGAGACTTAGTGAAATAGAAAGTGTTTTGCAAGCCATTAATATCACTGCTGATGTTCTAGAAATATTGCATTTTAGCATATTCAGTTAGGCCCCAGTAAATCATTACCTGCATAGATCAGAAATATTTGTTTTTTACTGTCCTTTCTCATTTCATTTGCTTCAAAAGTTGACAGAGTGGCAATTTTCATTTTTTTTTTTTTTTTTTTTTTTTTTTTAATGAAAATTTAATGGTCAGTTTTCTCGTTAAACTTGGTGGCTAAATTTTTTTTTTTTTTTCTAAGAATAATTTTATTTTAATTAAAAATCTACGAAAATATTTGTGGGGGTGGAAAGTCTTCAATTTCTCTACTTTCACTTAAAAGTTAGAAATTAAAAAGATTTTACTCTTACATTTTATTTAGTATTGAAAGCAAAATGTTTATGATATTTTAAATAGTAGATTTATAAAAGTGACTGGTGAAGACATGTTCAGCCAGATGCTTTAACCTTTTTTTTTTTTTTTTTTTTCATATATCTAAACTATAATTATTAACTATAATTTTGGAAAGTGAGAATTTCACTGAAATATGTTGGAAAATTTTCATCTAAAATCAGTAAAATACAACCTTTAAGCTAAACTAACATCTGCAACCATATCCTGGTGCTAAAAGTTTAATCACTTAATGATATCATAAATCCAAAATCACTTAATGATATCATCCAAAATTCTTTTGAGCACACGTTTATCTTTCTGTATAAAGAAATCTATTCATATATGAATTGATTCTTTTAATAACATCTACATTTTCAAAACCACTTACATAGCAATTGGTAAACATCAATTTTTACAACAATAGCAAGACAGTGTACTGGCAGGTTATAATGAAATGTGTTCATTTGCAAGTTATGTAAAAATTAAAAATTTATTTTTCTATAGATGCTTGGAAGAGCAGGTCGTCCTCAATATGACACACGAGGAGAAGGAATCATGATCACAAACCACAGCGAACTTCAATATTACCTTTCTCTCATGAACCAACAAGTGAGTATTTTAAGTTTATTACATTTCTCTTGTTTTAATAATTCATCTTCCTAAAATTGACTTAACCAAGACACTGACTTGTAAAAATGTTGCTTCAATATTAGAACAGTATATTGGCCTCATTCAAAACTAAGTCTTGTTTCTGAGTTCTAGATGATTAAATGGAAATAAAATATCTGATGAGTTTTATTTGAAATGCAATAAAAATACTAATATGTGAATAATGGTTTGAAAAAGTTTTATTTGTATATGGACTTTACAAATTAAAAGATGAGAATGTTTTATTCCTTGAAGCCAAGGCATTTTAAGAACCATATTTCTGATAATTATTTTTGTATATTTTTATAAATAACATTTACAAAGTGGCAATAAAGTTCATATTTAATATATAAAACTCAAAGTTTATATGTGTCTGCTCAAACCCTGGAAATGAAACACATAAAATTGGTTGTCTCTACATGTGTGAGCAAGTATTTTGTAAAACTGATATCAAATGAATGCAGCGTATTTATATCTACAAGCCTATGTTTTATCAACTTAGTTGTCCTTCTTTAATCGCGATAACTAATTTTGTATATTAAACTTTAAAAATCAATTTAAAAAAAAATGATTATATTTTGCTCTTCATTTCCAATCTGGTCTTTTGTAATCTTCATAAATTAACAATTATTTTTTAATAGTTTTTATAATTTTTCAGTTCTTCAAATAACTTTATTTTCTGCCTTGATAGTGGTAACCACCTTAGAATTTTGATCACATTTTGAGAATAAAGGGAATTAAGTAGTGCACATTTTTTAGTACTGTTTTCAAAATCCAGTAAATCTATATTTAATTTCTGGAAAATATTTTTTTTTTTTCATTTATTTATTAATGAATTTATTTGTTTCTCTTTATTGAGTTTATTTAAAGAAATTGTCAAAAATGACTTGTGCATAAGAAAAAAGACTTTAAGTTTTCCCTCTTTATTTAATGCAAGAAACATGCCTCTGTTGAGTGAAATCTGTAACCATTCAATTATTATCCAACTGCACTTACCATTGCCCATGTCTACATTTTGTATTTGAAATAAATGACCAACAAAATGTTTAAACATATCTAACTGATTTAAATACAACAATTTTGCTAATAATTATTTTACATTTTTAAGATCACAGTAAATGTTATGCTGCAAAATTATTGTTCAGTCTTTCTTTGATGCAAAAGTTGGAGGTTTTGGAAGCATTTATCATGATTTTTAATCTTTGTCTTGCTTCAGATTCTTCATTTAGTTACTCTTTTGTTCACTTGTATACTTATGTACATGCATTAGGAGTCCATTTCTTTATTCAAGATATTTACAAGAAGTAATAATATGGCAGTCATGTTATTATTCTTCAATACTGATAGAAATAGTTCTTGTAAATGTTGAATCAAAATATGTTCCTCTCCTGACTGGTTGACTTATCCCAGCTGCAACCCCCTAGTTGAACTAAGCTTTCACATTCATGTTCTTGGAAATATAATTTACATACATTCCTATTGCCAGTCATTTTAAGTTGTCCTTGCTTAATGGACATAACTAATTTCTATATTAAACTTTAAAAATCAAATTTAAAAAAAAATATATTTTGCTATTCATTTCCAATCTGGTCTTTTGTAATCTTTATAAGTAAACAGTTGTTTTGGTGATGATTATAATAAAGTAATATCATTTTCTACCTTTAGAATAGTAACCATCTTAGTATTTAGATCACATTTTGAGAATAAAGGAAATTAAGTAGTGTTTATGTTTTTAATAGTATGTTTTGGAAATTCAACTAATCTAAATTTTAATTTCTGGAAGACTTTTTCATTTATTTTTTATTTAATACTGAATTTATTTGAAGAAAAAAATTGTCAAAAATTGAATTAGATGGGCATAAGAAAAAGACATGAATTTTCTCCATTTTATTTAATGTTAGAAACATTTTATGCCTTTGCTGATTACTTGCATACCGTGATAGTAAACAGCAGGAATTAGTATAATTTAGTATATGGCCAATGGACTCTTTCTATGATCAATAGTCAAAGAAGTAGCTGCAAATGATTACTATATCCTTTGTTTTACTCATTACAGTGAAGGTCATGGTAATAAAAAAAAAATATTGTATGATTTTGTGTTACCTACTATGAGAGAAAACAAGATCTGAGAATTTTTATCCTAATGCTTATGGATGAGATGTGTTAATTTTTCTTATCTTTCAGTTGCCTATTGAAAGTCAGTTTATTGCCAAACTTGCTGACAACCTGAATGCTGAAGTGGTGTTAGGAACTGTTCAAAATATGAAAGAAGCCATGAATTGGCTGGGATACACATACCTTTATATTCGGATGCTGCGTTCTGGTTCTCTTTATGGCATTAGTGGTGACACCCAGAAAGATGACCCTGTTTTGGAGCAGAGGCGGAAAGATCTTATCCATTCAGCTGCTTCGCTACTTGACAAACACAACCTCATGAAATACGACAGAAAAACTGGAAACTTCCAGGTAAGCATTGCAGTAACAGATTTACCACCTGGTGTAATATTTCTCTTCTCTAAGCTATTGTAATGTCTTTTAGTTTGCATGCAACAACTTTAATTGCACAATGTGTGATAAGGATTTTAAAAAGCATTCATAAATTTGCTTTCTTTATGTAGACATTTTGCAAAACAAAATTGAGAAATTTATGCACAAATAGTTTTCATAATTCAAATTCCATAAGTTTTTTTTTAACATTGTTTTATCTTAGAATGAAATATTAACAATGACACTCTGTCTTGCTAATTTCTTAATAAAAAGTCTTGTTAATTCTTTACAAAATCTGTCTCAACTTTACAAGCTTCACTTTGATAAGGTTTTTATAATACAGATGTACAGTTAAAGATTTTATTAAAAGGTGGTAAGTTAAGATTTATAATACAGTTGCTTAATTTACAAGGAATTTAAAATTTCTGCTTTTAGGTAACTGAGCTTGGCCGTATTGCCAGCCACTACTATTGCACTCATGAGACAATGGCAACATACAACCAACTTTTGAAGCAAACACTTAGTGAAATCGAATTATTCCGCGTATTTTCCTTATCATCAGAATTTAAAAACATCACCGTCAGAGAGGTCAGTATACTTTACTTCAGTTATGAAAAAGAAAAGATATCCTTTTGAAATGTTTTCATGTTTCTATTTTTGATGAACAACTTAACATCTCTCGAAAGTGAAATGATTTTTTAAAATATTTTTCGGCCTCATTCTTAGTAAAATAACATACAAAAAAAAATCTTTGAAAAGAAAACTTTTTTCATGAAACATTAATATACAAAATCTTTTTCAGGAAGAAAAACTTGAACTATTCAAACTGTTAGAGCGTGTGCCTATTCCTATTAAAGAAAGTATTGAAGAACCCAGTGCCAAGGTATATTTATTTTGTGACTAATTATCTATGCCAACAAAACAAAGTTTCAAAAATACATGGATTTGTTTTAAAAAATATCAAAATTATATTAATTACCGCTGAAGTTTATAGATAATATAACCTGATGTCTTCTCTATATACAGTGTAACCCGGATATAAGAGAAACCCGGATATAAGAGAGATGTTCTCTGGTCCCAAAGTGTTCCCATACTTACCTAAACAAAATAGACTAAACCCGGATATAAGAGACTTCTTCTCCGGTCCTGACAACTCTCTTATATCCGGGTTTCACTGTATTTTTAAGAATGGCAATTTTCATTTTGTCAGCTTGTGATCTGTGATAATGTGCCTCAGTCTTTTGGAATGTTTCAATTTAAGCTGAGTTTATACTACACAATTTAAACCATATAAAGCAACTGAAAGAATGTATATAAAGTACAGGGTGTGATGGGTAAATATTTGCCATTTTATATTTTTAATTTCACATATGCACGTTGTTTGTTTTGATTTTGTCACCTGCACAGTATAATAGGGTCAGTTGGGCACTGTCTATGAGGTAAAAAAACACCATGACGCAATTCACTCTGTACTGCATGGCATTAGTGCCATAAGCTCTAATGCGAACATTTCAGAGTGTTTATGTGTCAATCTGAGGACTGCAGAGGATTAGGAAAGAGTTTGATGATAAATCCAGTCAACATCATGGTGTTTGGGGTGATCACTAGTTATGGTGAAGTTATGCTTCCATTAATTTTCCCACAGGGCCTCAAACTCAACATGGAGGTCTAAATCAAGTGTCTTGAGGAGGCAGTGATACCCTGGGTCAAGAGGGTGGCTGCTGGAAGGCCTTATGTCTGGCAACAGGATTCTGCACTATGCCACACAAACAGGAGATCTCGGTCATGGCTATCAAACAATTTTTGTGACCACATGATTCCTTACATCTAGCCACAGATTGCAACCTCCTTGATTGTGTGGGGCACAATTGAGCGAGAGACCACCAAAACTCCTTGTAACACCAAAGATGAACTGAAGACAAGGACATACAAAATCATTGATTTGATCAATTTTTGTTCTGTTTATTTGAATGTTACATTGTGGTTGTGCTTTGTTGTGATTGTCGTCTTGAGATTTAATCCAAGGTTCATTTCTTTCATGTTATGGGCAAAGCAGTTCAGAAATATTTGGAGTTATATATATATATATATATATATATATATAATATATATATATATATCATCTGCATTTGATAGATTTTATATTACTTAACTGTCACAAAAAGAAACCACTTTTACTACATATCTGTTGAGTTTTGAACATTACTGCTGACACTGTAACCTGAAAGAGAATGGTCAATAATATGTCACCCTGTTTAACACTCATTTTGATTGTAGCAAAACCGCTAACATTAAGATTGTTTCACACCTTGGTCTGAAGATTGCATTGATGTAGGAAACTGACAGTCACCATGCAGTGTTGATTCCTATAGCCACACACACATAGAACACTTAGTTGCTTTGATTTTTAATAGTAATTCTGCTGGAATTTTTCTAAAATATTTTAGAAAATTAGATTTTGCACCTTTTCTTATTTGATCTATTTTTATTTGTTAAAAAATATTCTGTTTTAGGTTTCAGAATTTCTTGCTTTTAATTCCTCTCTGTTTCATTTAGTGAACAAAAAAAATTAATTTACACTTGTTTTACTTACAATGATAAAAATAAGTGCTTTTTTCTCATGGTACTTTATAAAGTATATACAAATTTTCTGGTTTAAAACCATAGCAAATTGAAACCCCAGTTCCTGTACAATCACCAAAGTTAAGCAATGTTCAGTCTGGACTGGTGACTGAGAATACCATGTGCTGTAAGGTTGGTTGTACAAGTAGTGTAATGGATAATGGGTCAGAACTGTTAATCAGAAAGTTGAGTTTGAATTCCCATTGGGTTTGTTATATTCACTTACATGCAAATACTCTTGGGGGGGGAAAAATAGGAATCCACCTCTTCTCCCCAAGCTATGGGTTAATTAGTAAGATTTGTATCACTAAATCATTATTATCTCAAAAACATATTTTTACACTCTAAAGATTTTCAGGCTTTAAATAACCTGTAAAGGGTTGATAAGTCATAGAAAATGAATCGGTCAAAAAAAGTTTTTTTCTAACTGAAGATTCTAATACCAATTGGCTGTTTTTTGAATTTTAGGATTAATTATAACTAGTTGGAATCTGTGAACTATTTTCTAAAATTCACAATGAAGTCTTATGCTACAAATGACCTTGAAGTGCATGTGCAAATTCATCCTTTTACAGCTACTGTAAACTTTCAACATTTTATCCAGCTATTTGCATGACGTCATTTGAATAAAATAGATAGCAAAAGTGCAAAAACAGTGTTTTTAATACCATAGCATTTTTCAAATAGGTTTTTATGACGTCTATCTCCTTTCATCATGCAGAAAAGGACTTACGGAAATTTATTAATTTATTAATTTATTAATTTATTAATTTATTCAATTTTATCCAGCTATTTGCATGACGTCATTTGAATAAAATAGATAGCAAAAGTGCAAAAAACAGTGTTTTAATATCATAGCATTTTTTTCAAATAGGTTTTTATGACGTCTATCTCCTTTCATCATGCAGAAAAGGACTTACGGAAATTTATTAATTTATTAATTTATTAATTTATTAATTTATTCAATTTTATCCAGCTATTTGCATGACGTCATTTGAATAAAATAGATAGCAAAAAGTGCAAAAACAGTGTTTTAATATCATAGCATTTTCAAATAGGTTTTTATGACGTCTATCTCCTTTTCATCAGAAAAGAAAAGGACTTTATTAATTTATTAATTTATTAATTTATTAATTTATTAATTTATTAATTTATTCAATTTTATCCAGCTATTTGCATGACGTCATTTGAATAAAATAGATAGCAAAAGTGCAAAAAACAGTGTTTTTAATACCATAGCATTTTTCAAATAGGTTTTTATGACGTCTATCTCCTTTCATCATGCAGAAAAGGACTTACGGAAATTTATTAATTTATTAATTTATTAATTTATTAATTTATTAATTTATTAATTTATTCAATTTTATCCAGCTATTTGCATGACGTCATTTGAATAAAATAGATAGCAAAAAAGTGCAAAAAACAGTGTTTTTAATACCATAGCATTTTTCAAATAGGTTTTTATGACGTCTATCTCCTTTCATCATGCAGAAAAGGACTTACGGAAATTTATTAATTTATTAATTTATTAATTTATTAATTTATTAATTTATTAATTTATTCAATTTTATCCAGCTATTTGCATGACGTCATTTGAATAAAATAGATAGCAAAAGTGCAAAAACAGTGTTTTTTTTTTAATACCATAGCATTTTTTCAAATAGGTTTTTATGACGTCTATCTCCTTTCATCATGCAGAAAAGGACTTACGGAAATTTATTAATTTATTAATTTATTAATTTATTAATTTATTAATTTATTAATTTATTCAATTTTATCCAGCTATTTGCATGACGTCATTTGAATAAAATAGATAGCAAAAGTGCAAAAACAGTGTTTTTAATACCATAGCATTTTTCAAATAGGTTTTTATGACGTCTATCTCCTTTCATCATGCAGAAAAGGACTTACGGAAATTTATTAATTTATTAATTTATTAATTTATTAATTTATTCAATTTTATCCAGCTATTTGCATGACGTCATTTGAATAAAATAGATAGCAAAAGTGCAAAAACAGTGTTTTTTAATACCATAGCATTTTTCAAATAGGTTTTATGACGCCTATCTCCTTTCATCATGCAGAAAAGGACTTACGGAAATTTATTAATTTATTAATTTATTAATTTATTAATTTATTAATTTATTCAATTTTATCCAGCTATTTGCATGACGTCATTTGAATAAAATAGATAGCAAAAGTGCAAAAACAGTGTTTTTAATACCATAGCATTTTCAAATAGGTTTTTATGACGTCTATTCCTTTCATCATGCAGAAAAGGGAAATTTATTAATTTATTAATTTATTAATTTATTAATTTATTCAATTTTATCCAGCTATTTGCATGACGCATTTGAATAAAATAGATAAAAAGTGCAAAAACAGTGTTTTTTAATACCATAGCATTTTTCAAATAGGTTTTTATTATCTCCTTTCATCATGCAGAAAAGGACTTACGGAAATTTATTAATTTATTAATTTATTAATTTATTAATTTATTCAATTTTATCCAGCTATTTGCATGACGTCATTTGAATAAAATAGATAGCAAAAGTGCAAAAACAGTGTTTTTAATACCATAGCATTTTTTTCAAATAGGTTTTTATGACGCCTATCTCCTTTCATCATGCAGAAAAGGACTTACGGAAATTTATTAATTTATTAATTTATTAATTTATTAATTTATTCAATTTTATCCAGCTATTTGCATGATTCATTTGAATAAAATAGATAGCAAAAGTGCAAAAAAAACAGTTTTTTTAATACCAGCATTTTTTTCAAATAGGTTTTTATGACGTCTATCTCCTTTCATTGAAAAGGAAAATAAATTTATTAATTTATTAATTTATTATTAATTTATTAATTTATTCAATTTTATCCAGCTATTTGCATGACGTCATTTGAATAAAATAGATAGCAAAAAGTGCAAAAACAGTGTTTTTAATACCATAGCATTTTTCAAATAGGTTTTTATGACGTCTATCTCCTTTCATCATGCAGAAAAGGACTTACGGAAATTTATTAATTTAATTTATTAATTTATTAATTTATTAATTTATTAATTTATTCAATTTTATCCAGCTATTTGCATGACGTCATTTGAATAAAATAGATAGCAAAAGTGCAAAAACAGTGTTTTTTAATACCATAGCATTTTTCAAATAGGTTTTTATGACGTCTATCTCCTTTCATCATGCAGAAAAGGACTTACGGAAATTTATTAATTTTTAATTTATTAATTTATTAATTTATTAATTTATT